AACAGATTATCGTTTTTAGAATTAATGAACTGTCTGCATAACTCCTTGTTGTCTTAAACAAACTATAGAATTTCAAATAGAACTATCAAATAACGTGTATATATCTAGACATGTTCTTCATATCATCCCAATGCTTCCTACATATTTCAATATAGCCCAACTATCACTACTTCCTTTCACCCTCTTACGAAATCATGTCATTAGTAAATTTTCTCCACAAAGCACTACTACCTAATAACATATTTTGATTCACCTAAATAGAAAGAATTATTTTAATACCAGTCTTATTAAACAATCCAATTCAACATCAATTCAACATGTCTCATCACCCAATTAACTTACTTACTTTGTAAACCCTCTACAATATCTATTATTCTCTATCGCTAACTTTCCATATAACGGTACCTCAACAGAATATAAATTATTGTGAATTTATAGTCAAAACAAATAAAACATATATTCACCGATATGCAACTTTAATTACTATGTTAAACTATCCTCTGTGTTGGTAAGACAATCCCTTTCACATAATGTTATTAATTCACCTAGTAATCTAGGTCAATAGCATCAATGTAAAAGGAACCCTCTACACGTTCACCATCGAAACACCGTTACCCGTCACTCCACAAAATCTGCGGTCCTTGCAAAGCAAGTTAAACAACTACTTCCACGTCGCATAGCAAGTTACGTCACCACTCTAAATGTCACTTGTACGCACCACTAACTAGCTAGCCCTTTCACACCAAACATTCAACCCCCTATGACTTCCTTCTCCACAGCAACCACTGATCCTTGTACACCTAACGTAACCCATAATGTCCCTTACAGAACTCTCACGTTACAGCGAGCTCCAATGGTTAACACCCGCAGACAAAAACATGGAAACTCTTAAACATTTTTTTTTACAAGTAGACAAAATAAAACACATTCTCAAACAGCGTTCTGAATTTACCTCTATCGTAGGGTTTAAAAACTAACGTAACAACATTAACCATCCGAACTTGCTGTAGTAACTTCATGTTAGGTTCAGTTTATCTATTACGATAGTATGTCCATAATACTTCTAACAAAGCTACATTATCCCTAGTGTTTGTTTAATATTCCTATTATTCTCAGAGTTCTCTTGCTTCACTTCCCATGAATATAAGACATTCGCTTCTCTATGCGTCGTAAACTACATCCTATTTCCCCTGTTATCAACTAACATCATAGCCACACAATGAAACCACCAATCCTCAATTATTAGAATACAGCAGATGTAGGTAACTGTCCTTTCTAAGTAGGCTACCAAACCAAGTAACACCAAACACTTGCTGTAGTTTACCATCCTATATTGAACTTACAGTGAGGGAAAAAAGTATTTGATCCCCTGCTGATTTTGTACGTTTGCCCACTGACAAAGAAATGACCAGGCTATAATTTTAATGGTAGGTTTATTTGTACAGTGAGATACAGAATAACAACAACAAAATCCAGAAAAACGCATGTAAAAAATGTTATAAATTGATTTGCATTTTAATGAGGGAAATAAGTATTTGACCCCCTCTGCAAAACATGACTTAGTACTTGGTGGCAAAACCCTTGTTGGCAATCACAGAGGTCAGACGTTTCTTGTAGTTGGCCACCAGGTTTGCACACATCTCAGGAGGGATTTTGTCCCACTCCTCTTTGCAGATCTTCTCCAAGTCATTAAGGTTTTGAGGCTGACGTTTGGCAACTCGAACCTTCAGCTCCCTCCACAGATGTTCTATGGGATTAAGGTCTGGAGACTGGCTAGGCCACTCCAGGACCTTAATGTGCTTCTTCTTGAGCCACTCCTTTGTTGCCATGGCCGTGTGTTTTGGGTCATTGTCATGCTGGAATACCCATCCACGACCCATTTCAATGCCCTGGCTGAGGGAAGGAGGTTCTCACCCACGATTTGACGGTACATGGCCCCGTCCATCGTCCCTTTGATGCGGTGAAGTTGTCCTGTCCCCTTAGCAGAAAAACACCCCCAAAGCATAATGTTTCCACCTCCATGTTTGACGGTGGGGATGGTGTTCTTGGGGTCATAGGCAGCATTCCTCCTCCTCCAAACACGGCGAGTTGAGTTGATGCCAAAGAGCTCCATTTTGGTCTCATCTGACCACAACACTTTCACCCAGTTCTCCTCTGAATCATTCAGATGTTCATTGGCAAACTTCAGACGGGCCTGTAAATGTGCTTTCTTGAGCAGGGGGACCTTGCGGGCGCTGCAGGATTTCAGTCCTTCACGGCGTAGTGTGTTACCAATTGTTTTCTTGGTGACTATGGTCCCAGCTGCCTTGAGATCATTGACAAGATCCTCCCGTGTAGTTCTGGGCTGATTCCTCACCGTTCTCATGATCATTGCAACTCCACGAGGTGAGATCTTGCATGGAGCCCCAGGCCAAGGGAGATTGACAGTTATTTTGTGTTTCTTCCATTTGCGAATAATCGCACCAACTGTTGTCACCTTCTCACCAAGCTGCTTGGCGATGGTCTTGTAGTCCATTCCAGCCTTGTGTAGGTCAACAATCTTGTCCCTGACATCCTTGGAGAGCTCTTTGGTCTTGGCCATGGTGGAGAGTTTGGAATCTGATTGATTGATTGCTTCTGTGGACAGGTGTCTTTTATACAGGTAACAGAGATTAGGAGCACTCCTTTTAAGAGTGTGCTCCTAATCTCAGCTCGTTACCTGTATAAAAGACACCTGGGAGCCAGAAATCTTTCTGTTTGAGAGGGGGTCAAATACTTATTTCCCTCATTAAAATGCAAATCAATTTATAACATTTTTTACATGCGTTTTTCTGGATTTTGTTGTTGTTATTCTGTATCTCACTGTACAAATAAACCTACCATTAAAATTATAGCCTGGTCATTTCTTTGTCAGTGGGCAAACGTACAAAATCAGCAGGGGATCAAATACTTTTTTCCCTCACTGTAAGCCTTACCACAGATAAGCAGAACTTGACATAATCAAAAAAATGAAAGTCTGCTTACCTGTTAGTTGGGCTGTGAACTGCATCCTTCATTTAGACGCCAATCTGTTATGATGAGTTTCTAGGGTATCAAGTGATTACGAATGTAAGGATGTACTTAGACACTTTTGATGGGGAGTTCATATAATATATTTAATATGGTACCATGGTTAGTTATATCAGACGAAGGACATGGCCCTGCCGCTGCCATCTTCCTAACTCCAGAACAAAGATCCACTCTCTCTATATATACACTCTGTTACAAGTCTCTCCACGAACATCTGGTACCCATCATGGGCACTCACTTCTCTTGATGTTATTACCCTTTACCCCTGTCACTATATCCTGTCCATCAATTATTCTAAGATCAACATCAGTAATCTACTCTGACATAACGGAATGTAGACTCCGTGGCAGCAAACCACTTATCTACTAACACTCCCCTGGTCCACACAATACTATGACATGATATTATTACAGGTCCTTCATGTTTCTTGGTGTACTTTGATATTAAGCTGACTTGGGCAGAACACAGAGTGGTGGGGAAATGTAAAAAAGTTATAAATGTGAAGCGCTGTCTGACAGGGACAGAGTGGGGGGCTGGGCGTTCCTCACGGAGGACCATGTACTGTATGTTGTTTTGATCCAATCTGTAATAGATTATGGAAGTATAGTGTATGGTTCGGCAGCCAGGTATCAGAATATGTAGTGGGGCCTTTTGGACCTCTCCAGATTTAGGGGGAGATGCCATTACATAGCTGGCAATGAACTATTGGGTTAACTAACAGGGGCATGGGGTGTCTCACCTGACGAAAGGGGTCCTACAGGCATGTTCGGAACATAAACGTGGACAGAATAAAAGCTTTGGATGGGTGGGTGATAACCAGGCGAGGTGGATGGGATTATATGGCAGGGAGTTTAGCCCCATGGTACCTATCCCTGTGAGTCCACCATGGCTACTCCTGCATCCAGTAGTTGATTTACAAGTGTTCTAGAGAGTACGGAAAAACAGGGAAGGTGTTGATCCATCAGAGTTATTTAAAAGACGACTGGATACTATATATCAGGATTTTATGCCCATATATACAGATGGATCAAAAGATCCATGGACAGGTCAGACTGGGTCAGCCTTTGTTTTAAAGGAAAGTGGGGTGGCAGTAAGGACACATATTACAGACCATCTGGCTGTATGCATGGCAAAACTGTTGGCTGTACTGTCCTTGCAGTGGGTGGAGGAAGTCAAGCCAAACAGAGTAGTTATATGCTCTGATTCATGTGCTGTGTTGATGAGTCTGCAAACATTTAGCTCATACAGCAGACAAGACCTGCTATATGAGGTTCTCCAAATTCATGCAAGGGTGAGACAGATGGGTGTCCAGATACATTTTGCTTGGGTCCTAGCCCATGTGGGGGTGAAAGGGAATGAGGAAGTAGATGTGCTAGCTATACAGGCCCTTAGGACAGAGGATGTGGATGTGGAGGTGCCAATGAGCAAGGCAGAGGCTAAGGGAATGATATGGACAGTGCAGAGATGGCAGGAGCAGTGGAACAGCGAGACTAAGGGCAGGCTTATATACAGAGTAAAGTCAGGGAGGAGGGTAGGAAGAGACAGAAGTGAGGAGGTCATCTTTACAAGGCTAAAGGTGGGACACCACCTATTGAATAAGTCATTAAATGTGATAGGAAACCATCCAACAGGAAGGTGTGATTATTGCCAGGAAACAGACAGTGGAACATGTGCTGATACAGTGTGAGCAGTATGATGGGGAAAGAGAGAGACTGAGATCAAATACGAGGGAGAAGGGGATACAGGAATTGAGTTTAAAATGCATACTGAGAGTAGAACATTGTTAGATACAGTCTCAAAAATGTTCTATATTTTTAAGAGAAACGGGGCTGGCAGGTAGGTTGTAGTTCCTCCCTGTCCCTGGCCCACACTCCAATACAATAGGTGGCGGTAATGCACCATAAAGTTGGATGCCAAACGCCGGTTAACCCCACAGAAGTAGTATGCGTGCGCACCACCTTGTTTCGGTCAAGTGAGACGATTACGAAGATGGTGGAAGTTTATTTCTTGAAGTGAAGCCGCAAAAGAACCAAAACAGACCGGGATATTGGGGAAAGTTGCCTGTCACGTCTTGAACTTCTTCTGCCCTTGGATTCGGGTAAGCGAAACATCCGAGGTGGAAAGTCCTCAACCGCAATATTTTGCCTCCACACTGGGCTAGCCAGCCATGACACGGGCTAGCTAACCTGCCAGCCAGCTTGTTTTTTTAAAGCCTGTTGTGCTCTTGTGTTATCACGAGCAGTTGCCAGTAGCCCATTCATAGACTGTATATTCATAAGTTGCCAGCTGATATTTAACACGTAAACAACAACACTTTATTGCATCCAATCTCTGCATCACGGAGTAGAACGTAACATTTCAAGGTTGTAATTTCACTCGTTTTGAGACTACAGAGCTAATTTAGCGACTTAGCTAACTAGGCTAAACGCGTTAGCCTTCTTCGTTGTCAAACATGTCGGAGATATCTAAGCGTATCCTTTTGCCAATGTCATATGCGACTGGTGATGGTTAACATCAAATCCTAGCGATGGCAAACAAAATGCAGTAATAATTAACTATGTTTATTTTCTCCAGTCATATTGTTATTGAGTAAAATGACGTTGGGGTTCTCTTGCTTTTATCCAGTCACGTGTTCATAAAACATACTGTCATTTCAACAACCTGATCGTGCCACTTTCTTTGAACTGAGGGGTGGGGCTGGGTAAATGTAGCTAACCTTTTTTATTTATTTATTTATTTATTTCACCTTTATTTAACCAGGTAAACCAGTTGAGAACAGGTTCTCATTTACAACTGCGACCTGGCCAAGATAAAGCAAAGCAGTGCAATAAAAACAACACAGAGTTACATATGGGGTAAAAAAACATAAAGTCAAAAATACAACAGAAAATATATATACAGTGTGTGCAAATGTAGCAAGTTATGGAGGTAAGGCAATAAATAGGCTATAGTGCAGAATAATTACAATAGTATTAACACAATGTATTGTGGGTTATGATGGGTAAGGCAGTTGTAGGGTATTTATAATTTGTATTCTTAAAGAAACAAAGCTCTTCCTTGAATGTTGCACTCAAACAATCCATGTTTTTTTTTTAAAGTTATACATGTCTGTGTGTATTATACTGAACAAAAATATAAACGCAACAATTACAACGATTTTACTGAGTTACAGTTTATATAAGGAAATCAGTCAATTGAAATACATTAATTGGGCCCTAATCTATGGATTTTGCATGACTGGGCAGGGGAGCAGCCACTTGGGAGCCAAGCCCAGCCAATCAGAATGAGTTTTTCCCCACAAAAGGGCTTTATTACAGACTGAAATACGCTTCAGTTTCATCAGCTGGCTGGTGTCAGACGATCCCACAGGTGAAGAAGCCGGATGTGGAGGTCCTGGGCTGGCGTGGTTACAAGTGGTCTGCGGTTGTGAGGCTAGTTGTACGCACTGCCAAATTCTCTACAACGACGTTGGAGGCGGCTTATGGTAGAGAAATTAACATTAAATTCTCTGGCAACAGCTCTGGTGGACATTCCTGCAGTCAACATGCCAATTGCACACGCCCTCAAAACTTGAGACATCTGTGGCGTTGTGTTGTGTGAGACAACTGCACATTTTAGTGGCCTTTTATTGTGGACCTTTGTAATGATCATGCTGTTTAATCAGCTTCTTGATATGCCACACCTGTCAGGTGGATGGATTATCTTGGCAAAGGTAAAATGCTCACTAAAAGGGATGCAAAGAAATTTCTGCACAAAATTTTAGAGAAATAAGCCTTTTCTGCATATGGAACATTTCTGGGATCTTTTATTTCAGCCCATGAAACATGGGACCAACACTTTACATGTTGCATTTATATTTTTGTTCAGTATAGTTGATATGTCAGTTCCTATGTTAACTATTAACTTGGTAGTGTTTTGTTAGCTAAACCCATAGACATAACTTAACCTAAACAGTAGTTTATGTGGAAATGTAGTAGTAGCCTACTAGCCTAGCCTTGTAAACACAAACCTCAGCGGCAGAGCTAAAGCTTGTCTGAGGTTCTGTACAATTGCTTAAGCTGCTATTTAGCCTTTAATCAGGATATTTTCGACTAACCTTGGCGATACTTTATTCGTTCTCGATTTGGACGTCCCCGGTGTCTTCTAAACTCCCATGGCTAGTTTCAGGGGGAAAGTTGGAATTTATTTATTTTCAGTTATTAAATTAAATACAATTTTGCTCCATGAAGTAATCCAACAAGATTAGATGGCGGTATATACATTGTCGGATTATTTCATGGAGCAAAAATGATTTAATTTAATAAAGGACTATTTTCTCAATTCCAACTTTCCCCCTGCAACTAGCCATGGTAGTTTAGAAGACTTTGTCAGAAAATATATTTAGCATAATTGAATATATCAGCTACAACAGCAAATGTTATCTAGTTAGCCATACAATGTGCAACAATGCAACAGAATTTAGATACAAAAATGATTGGACCGAAGCTTTTAGCACTAACAAGGGACTTGTGAAGTATAAAGGACTGACTTGGACTCGGACTCTAACACTAGGGACTTGATACTCGACTTGGACTCGGTTTAGTGACTTGACTACATCACTGCCATCAGCTAGCCTACTTCTAGCCCTGAAGCAGGACCAAGTTGGAACATTACAAATAGGCCTATCCTATGGTGTAGGCCTACAGGCATTCCAAAATTCACAACAACCTCTATAATCAACTCTAATAGCCTAGGCTGTGTTTCCACTTTTTATTTGTTTATGCGTTATCTGACATTTAGGTGAGGCAGGTATTCATTGGATGATGGTGAATCTTTGATCCTGGTCTTAGCTGATGAGTTCCTGACTAGTGAGTTTAATTAGCTGGCTCACAACGCAGTCACTCACTGTAGGCCCAGGATCAGCAGTGGTTAGTTATTAACTCCGGGTACAGCCAAAGTTAAAGTTTATCCAGAGCTTTTTCTCTCATTTGCACAGGGGAGATAGGCGAGGAACATACACTATATATACAAAAGTATGTGGGCACCCCTTCAAATGAGTGGATTCTGCTATTTCAGCCACACCCGTTGCTGACAGGTGTATAAAATCGAGCACACAGTCATGCAATCTCCATAGAAAAAACATTGGCAGTAGAATGGCCTTACTGAAAAGCTCAGTGACTTTCAACGTGGCACTGTCATAGGATGCCACCTTTCAGTTTGTCAAATTTCTGCCCTGCTACAGCTGCCCGATCAACTGTAAGGGCTGTTATTGTGAAGTGGAAATGTCTAGGTGCAACAACGGCTCAGCCGCGAAGTGGTAGGCCACACAAGCTCACAGAACGGGACCGCTGAAGCGCATGGCACTTAAAAATCGTATGTCCTCGGTTGCAACACTCACTACTGAGTTCCAAACTGCCTATGGAAGCAACATCAGCACAATAACTGTTGTGTCAGGAGCTTTATGAAATGGGTTTCCATGGCCGAGCAGCAGCACACAAGCCGAAGATCACCATGCGCAATGCCAAGCGTCGGCTGGAGTGATGTAAAGCTCGCCGCTATTGGATTCTGGAGCAGTGGAAACGCGTTCTCTGGAGTGATGAATCACGCTTCACCATCGGGCAGTCCGACGGACAAATCTGGGTTTGGCGGATGCCAGGAGAACGCTACCTGCCCAAATGCATAGTACCAACTGTAAGGTTTGGTGGAGGAGGAATAATGGTCTGGGGCTGTTTTTAATGGTTTGGGCTAGGCCCCTTCCAGTAAGGGAAATCTTAACGCTACAGCATACAATGACATTCTAGACGATTCTGTGCTTCCAACATTGTGGCAACAGTTTGGGGAAGGCCCTTTCCTGTTTCAGCATGACAATGCCCTCGTGCACAAAGCGAGGTCCATACAGAAATGGTTTGTTGAGATTGGTGTGGAAGAACTTGAATGGCCTGCACAGAGCCCTGACCTCAACCCCATCGAACATCTTTGGGATGAATTGGAACCAGGCCTAATCGCCCCAACATCAGTGCCAAACCTCACTAATGCTCTTGTGGCTGAATGGAAGCAAGTCCCCGCAGCAATGTTCCAACATCTAGTGGAAAGCCTTCCCAGAAGAGTGGAGGCTGTTATAGCAGCAAAGGGGACACAAACTCCATATTAATGCTCATGATTTTAGAATGAGATGTTCCAAAAGAACTAGGCTATGATTCCTGATGCTACTTTCACCAGTTTGATTTTCCCTAGAAAGTTAATTGTTGGGTTGCATCACACTCGTGGCTTTTTCCAGAGAACAAGTATTTGTAAATGGGCAATTCCACGGTAACATTGACACTGAGACTCAGATTTTTCACTTTGAAATGAATTTCAAACAAACCAATGATTGCAAAGTTAGACAAACCATACTATGCACAAGGTCTACCTAAACAATTTCCACTGAGAATTTTACAAAACCACATTCACTTTAAGAACAGTGCAGATGCCAAGTTCGGTAACAGAATGATGACACAAACCGTCATTCTGTTATCAAACTTAGCATCTGCACTGTTCTTCAAAGTAGTTATTGTGCATAGAGTTGTATGGTTTCTTTAACTTTGCAGTCATGGGTTTTTGTTTGACATGCATTTTAAAGTGAAAATCAGAATCTGTGTCACTCTGTTACTGCCCAAATGACTCTCTTAGAAATCTTACTACTATACATCTGAGCTCAGTAAGTTTCACACCCACACTTCCACGTACTTATAGAGAAGACTTGCCTAGTCAGAGAATGGTAGGTACCAGCATAACCTTTCTTGCCCATTTAACTAATAGCAATATCATTTCATTACCATTCAAAATAGGTCAATGTATTAGTTGCTGGGTGGTTAAAGTGTGACTAACAGAATGCTGACCATGATATTTTATGTTGTTCCATTACATTTAGGTAAGGTCACTGTCTAATATCGTAAAGCATCTCTCACAATGCAGTGAACCCAAATGTCATGCCTAGACAGAGGATAGAAAGGCTGTAACTTGCATTGCATGGAATGTGTTTTGGGCCATTGAGTGGTTGACTGAGTACGGTGTGGTGTTTGTTGCAGGTAGCCATTCCAGCCCTATGTCATGGCCTCCAGCGTTGCTAAACCAGGCCCTGGGAATGGCTACCCCATGAAGGCACAACTGCAAGTTATGGGTAGGTTCTTAATCCTGATCCTTGTCATTTATTTTGGGTGTTGAAGGGCTTAGTCCATACAAAACATAGGAAACTCTGTTTCTCAGGGTGTGGGCAATGTTTATTTTGTCCACACTCATAAAACAGAATTGACCCGAAGTGCTCTATAATATTATAATATACAGTGCCTTGCAAAAGTATTCATCCCCCTTGGCGTTTTTCCTATTTTGTTGCATTACAACCTGTAATTTATATTGATTTTTATTTGGATTTCATGTGATGGACATACACAAAATAGTCAAAATTGGTGAAGTGAAATGAAAAAAATAACTAGTTTCAAAAAATTATAAAATATAAATAACGGAAAAGTGGTGCGTGCGTATGTATTCACTCCCTTTGCTATGAAGCTCCTAAATAAGATCTGGTGCAACCAATTACCTTCAGAAGTCACATAATTAGTTAAATAAAGTCCACCTGTGTGCAATCTAAGTGTCACATGATCTGTCACATGATCTCAGTATATATATACACCTGTTCTGAAAGGCCCCAGAGTCTGCAACACCACTAAGCAAGGGGCACCACCAAGTAAGCGGCACCATGAAGACCAAGGAGCTCTCCAAACAGGTCAGGGACAAAGTTGTGGAGAAGTACAGATCATGGTTGGGTTATAAAGAAATATCAGAAACTTTGAACATCCCACGGAGCACCATTAAACCCATTATTAAAAAATTGAAAGAATATGGTACCACAACAAACCTGCCAAGAGAGTGCCGCCCACCAAAACTCACGGACCAGGCAAGGAGGGCATTAATCAGAGAGGCAACAAAGACACCAAAGACAACCCTGAAGGAGCTGCAAAGCTACACAGCGGAGATTGGAGTATCTGTCCATAGGACCACTTTAAGCCGTACAATCCCCAGAGCTGGGCTTTACGGAAGAGTGGCCAGAAAAAAGCCACTGCTTTAAGAAAAAAATAAGCAAACAGGTTTGGTGTTTGCCAAAAGGCATGTGGGAGACTCCCCAAACATATGGAAGAAGGTAGTCTGGTCAGATGAGACTAAAATTTAGCTTTTTGGCCATCAAGGAAAAAGCTATGTCTGGCGCAAACCCAACACCTCTCATCACCCCGAGAACACCATCCCCACAGTGAAGCGTGGTGGCAGCATCATGCTGTGGGGATTTTTTTCATCGGCAGGGACTGGGAAACTGGTCAGAATTGAAGGAATGATGGATGGCGCTAAATACAGGGAAATTCTTGAGGGGAAACCTGTTTCAGTCTTCCAGAGATTTGAGACTGGGACAGAGGTTTACCTTCCAGCAGGACAATGACCCTAAGCATACTGCTAAAGCAACACTCGTGGTTTAAGGGGAAACATTTAAATGTCTTGGCATGGCCTAGTCAAAGCCCAGACCTCAATCCAATTGAGAATCTGTGGTATGACTTAAAGATTGCTGTACACCAGCGGAACCCATCCAACTTGAAGGAGCTGGAGCAGTTTTGCCTTGAAGAATGGGCAAAAATCCCAGTGGCTAGATGTGCCAAGCTTATAGAGACATACCCCAAGAGACTTGCAGCTGTAATTGCTGCAAAAGGTGGCTCTACAAAGTATTGACTTTGGGGGGGTGAATAGTTATGCACACTCAAGTTTTCTGTGTTTTTGTCTTATTTCTTGTTTGTTTCACAATAAAATATATTTTACATCTTCAAAGTGGTAGATATGTTGTGTAAATCAAATGATACAAACCCCCCCAAAATCCATTTAAATTCCAGGTTGAAAGGCAACAAAATAGGAAAAATGCCAAGGTGGGTGAATACTTTCGCAAGCCACTGTATGCCATTTGGCAGATGCTTTATCCAAAGCAACTTAGTCATGCGTGCATACATTTTTATGTATGGGTGGTGAAATCGAACCCACTACCCTGGCGTTGCAAACACCATGCTCTACGAACTGAGCTGCTCTCAAACTAACTTCTAACAGACAGTCTTCCTTCTAGCTCTGCCCTAATTGACGACACTCTTCATCCCCTCAGTGCTATCAGCAAAACTGAAAGAGAACAAGAAGAACTGGTTTGGCCCCAGTCCATATGTTGAAGTTGCAGTTGATGGCCAGTCCAAAAAGACAGAAAAATGCAACAACACCCACAGTCCCAAATGGAAGCAGCCGCTCACAGTGTAAGTTGTCATCGTGTTATTGTTGACAGTCAGTGTTGAGAGCAAGGAACAGCCGCATCTTAATTTAACAAGTACAAATTCTCTCAAAAGTGGCAAGTGTACAGGGTTGACTGAGGATCCACTCATGATTTAGTAGTGCCAAGTGCCAACACATCCACACAATCAATCCCTTCTTTATATAGCTCTGGAGTCTTACTCTGCAGTCCCTTCTTAATTTAGAGTCCCTCTCCAATTTCAGTATGTCTTGGTGTGGAGTATTCGGAGCAGTTATACTATGGTGTAGTAAGCTGATGCGCTTACACAACTGTCTTTTCCTGCAAACATTCAGGGTTTAAGTAGGCAGCTGTTATAGTGGGCATGGACACTTGCTTCTATTTGTCTCTCTCTCTTTAGATATATGAAAATAATTATCTTTGACTATTTCATGTCTGATAAACTCTCACATAAAATGTATGCTATATTCCCAGTGAATTAACCAATGTCATCTTCATTGTTTGTTTTTCTTTTACCGCTGCAATAGAATTGTCACTCCTTTTAGCAAGCTCATCTTCCGGGTATGGAGTCACCAGACCTTGAAGTCGGACGTATTGTTAGGCATGGCAACTCTGGAGGTCAGCGAAACACTCAAATCCAACGACATGAATAGTGAGTGCCTTCCTTGTATCATGTTATTCATACCTTGCTTGGCTGTGTGATAAAGGCCTGTACTGTGTCTGTGCTCTCACACTTACATAACACAGCCACAAACACCTCCCCTGCTTTGACTGTGTGATGTCACAGATCAGAGGCTGATGAGATTACTTCCCCGTTTTAAAGAGTTCATTCAGTCCCCTGACAATTTTCTAAATGCATTTAAGGCAAACCAGATTGAAAATATCACACCAGTCTCCTATTTTGACAAAGCAGTAAACAATGATAACTTCGTTTTGGAGTAGGATAATTACTCTGTTTCTTATGGCTGTACATTTGTTTGACTCTCCTTACATTTTACATTTTAGTCATTTAGCAGACGCTCTTATCCAGAGCGACATACAGCAGCAATTAGGGTTAAGTGCACATCGACAGATTTTTCACCTAGTCGGCCTCGGGGATTAGAACCAGCGACCTTTCGGTTACTGGCACAACGCTCTTAACCACTAAGCTACCTGCCGCCCCATTCCTCTTATGGGAATTCTCTCTCCATTACTTTTTTCCACTAGTTTGTTGAAGGTATATTTGATAAGGTGACAACAGACATAATTATTGGTCATAGCCTATCTGGTATACTGTCCAAGCAGTTCTTTACTGTCCCTCTCGTGTCCCAAACTCAAGGTTATCATCCTGGTGCAAAGTGGCAGACAAGGATGATTCAAAGTGCTGATAAAGGCTTTTGACAGACGAGGAGCTGAGTGGAAGGAGGCTTTTTATTACATAACCAATAGTGCTGGGAATTGCCAGAGACCTCACAATACGATATTATCGTGATACTTAGGTGCTGATATGATATGTATTGGGATTCTCACGATTCTATATGTATTGGGTTGGATACTGTGATTTTATTGCGATTTGATATTCTAAACATATTGCTCACCATATGTCTGCTGCAGAGGGACGAGAGGCATGAGAACGAGTTTTGATCAGTCATGGAAATAAAAGTGCTGAAAAGAAATTGACTCCCTATTTTAAAAAGATGTAGAACAAGCTATGAAGGAAAAATACTAGAGTTTTGGTGCAGATACAGCCAACTAGTGCAAAAATATTGTCAACACGATATATCGTCAAAAATAATATCCCGATATGTAACTATATAGATTATTTCCCCCATCACTAATAACCAATGCTTTTGTTCCATGATGTTTTCCCTTCAGTCTCTGAGGTGGTGCAGACCCTGCATCTGAGTGCAGACAAAGACCAGACAGATGTGGTGGGGGACCTGTCTGTCTGTCTGGACGGCATGCAAGTCGACCCCGAGATGTTTGCCTCTGCTGCCAAGGCCAACAGCCAAAGTGAGTCTGCTCTGTGCAATGTTATCCGCACTGTTATCTGTATTGATTTGTAGGGAGAGAGTTATGGTTTTCCCATCCTTCCCAGAAAATAATCTCCAGCTTCCCCTCAGTATGTTCAGTTCACAACTCTGGGTTTGTCTTTCTGATCTCAGGTACATCAAATGGGGAATCGCAACACAACGGGGATCATGATGTGAGGTAAGCTTATTATTCATGGTTACTGTGGTAATGATGGTCTTGCTTATGGGCAGAGTTAATAGGTGATCTTGTGGCAGGCGGAGTAGAGACGGCTCTCCTTCTGTGGATGGTTTGGAGCACAGAGCTTCCCCAAATGAGCGTGCGGTCGCAGTGAACGGCACAGGGTCTTGCAAAGGGTCTCCTGCTCTGTCAGCAGGGGGCTCCAGGGGGAATCCTCTACGGCCCCCCAGGCCCTCCCGACCCCCACCACCCACCCCGCGCAGACCAACCTCTTCTCCAGGTGAGTGGGTCAACCTCTTAACCCATCTTAAACCAACACTAATGCTCCTGGGGATTTTATGGCATGGTATTTTGCTTTATGCTTCGTTTTGTATGTCCACAATTAAGCGTTTGTCAATTAATGTGGTCGAAAACCATCTAGTGTCATTTTCTCAAACACACTCAATCTTATTTTCTCATTCACTGGTTCATGGCAGCATCCTCTAATGGTTCTATACCAACTGAAGGAAGCGATGGCCCCAGCTCAGAGACCCCAGTCCGTATGCCTGCACCTGCAGGACCAGCCACAGACCCCAATACCCCACCCCCTACACACGACCAGAGCCAAGCAATAGCAGCCAGACAAGCAGCCAGTGTTGCCCCAGGCCCCCCCAGAGTCCCCACTGTTGCTGCAGGCCCACTGCCTCCTGGGTAAGGGTCAAGCCATCCATGTTGATCAGTCTGGCAGAAACACTCAATCGGTCAGTTAGTGGTGTCAATACAACTCCACCCTCAGGTTCATAATCTGACTTATGATCTGTTAAAAAACTGAAAATGTGAGCAAGAGAGCTGTTGTTTGAAATATATCTGTTGCCGTGACTGCTTACCAACTGCAATTACATGTTATTATTGCTCTAGGGTTACTTAGTCTCATCACTTTTATACTTCAACTCTACACTACCTGACGTGACTTGGCTTTTTGCTTTTGTAGCTGGCTGACTGTTTTAAATGTTTACATTTTCTTTAAATCGCATGTTCCTGTAAAGATGGGAGCAGAGGGTGGATCAGAACGGAAGGCTGTATTTTGTAGATCATGTGGAAAAGAGGACAGCGTGGGAGCAGCCTGAGCCTCTACCTTCTGGGTAACTCCCCTCACATATCCTGTCTTCATACTCAAGTGACACTCAAACTACAATATACATTCTACATACAGTATTAAAATTCATTTTTCCTACACCCATATTAACACTCCAGTTCACAAGACAAGCGGAGAATAGTGTCTTTCTTACTAGAGGATGCTAAATGCGTCTCCCCTGTTCCTCTTTGCTCTGTGTGTAGGTGGGAGCGGCGAGTGGACCCCATGGGCAGGGTCTACTTTGTAGACCACATCACCAGAACTACCACCTGGCAACGGCCCACCATGGAGACAGTGCGGAACTATGAACAGTGGCAGCACCAACGCAACCAGCTACAGGGTGCCATGCAGCAGTTCAACCAGCGCTTCATATTTGGGGTGAGTGGGGTAAGTAGGAACTCTATGACTGGTCAAATCAAGTGCTCAACTCCTTCAATAACAGTACTGCTTGGTACTGAACAGTTGTGAAACACTCAACAGATGAAGATTTTAAATAAATGAGGCCAGCTGCTATTTGCACTGTGTGAGATGATAATGCCATCAAATGGATTGGGTAATTTACAAGAAGTTTATTAGGAACAAAGAAACTAAAGAGGGACACTACCTCACCCCTGGCTTTATTTAGCTAATTGAGCTAGCTGGCAAGCCAGACAGAGCCGTTATAGGAAGATAATATTTTAACTATGAAATGTAATTAATTGGGCCTTGGTGTAGTGTCCAGATGATCTATTAGTGTTTGTGTGTCAGCCTTATCAGATTCTCTCTTAAGATTGTCTGCTTCTCTTAATTCTTTACATATTGTGCTGTAAACAGTCTGTCCTTTTTCAGTTGGTGATATTTCACCAATCTTTATCAGTTGACAGTTGACTTTTTTTACTTTGTTAATATATTATTCTGTTTGTCTTCTCTTGTGCACTGAAGCTCCAGGACCAGGTTCCAGCCACTGAGAATAAGCAGTTTGATCCCCTGGGCCCGCTGCCACATGGATGGGGTAAGATCTCACTCGTTACCTCACATCGCACAGATTAATTGAATGTTTTCTAGAATTTTTAATGAATTGATTTATGTTCTCAGAGAAAAGAACTGACAGCAACGGGAGAGTGTACTTTGTCCAACACACCACACGGACTACACAGTGGGAGGACCCTCGCACTCAGGGGTGAGAAGTTCATCTGTACTCTTAGTACAGATATTTATCCTAACATCTACTTTTAACCCCAAAGTGGGAGCTATCCTGGCACACCTAGAACAAGACAAGAGTAGCTCAGCCCCTGGGTTTAGTACTCTCCACATGCCAATGCGCTGGAACTGAAGTGTTAATTCAGACATTGTTCAGATCTGTGTCCGACTGTTGGTCCTAGTGTATTGTGATTACACTCCCTCTCTCAGGTTGCTGAATGAAAAGCCTCTTCCAGAGGGCTGGGAGATGAGGTTCACTGTCGACGGCATCCCATACTTTGTGGACCACAACAGGAGAGCCACTACATACATCGACCCTCGCACTGGAAAATCCTCACTGTATGTCACAAGATTACATTCACTTAATATCAAAGCATTGGGCTACCACTCTGACTAAACAATTTTTCTTGAGGCCATATTTTAGACCAAAATTGGCTGTATTTAACAAACACTGTTCTGTTTCAGAGACTAGTATTGACCTAAAACAGACTGGTGATGGAAGTGTTGCTACTAATAACAACGCTTTCTTTCTGTACCAAAAACGTCAAATAAGGATGACTAAAATGGGCTGAACAGATACTGTCCATCTTTTAGTATTCTAATGAGCCACACCTGAGGGAAGATGGTGTACTGTCAACATGACTGCTCTCTGTGCAGCAGGGACTTTGCTTAGCTCTATTCCCCAACTAACAGGAATGACCTGTTTGGTGCCTTTTACAGGACTGTGTGGTTATTGATATTTCCCCTCTAGTTGTTTGTCTGCTCACCTGTAGCATGTTTTGGCTGAAATAATTGTCATTATCTAGCCATTTGTTTAGTCTGCAGAGAGTAGTGAACACATACCATTGTCTGACTGTCTGGGGTCTATGGTTTGACATTCTTGTATAGTTCTAATAAACTATAGTAAAAGCCAGGTAATCTGACAGAAGGCTGATTCAGTGTTTGGGTCATGATGCGTGACTGAATGTGTGCCTTTATCCTTGTCTCTCTCTACAACAGTGAAAATGGGCCCCAGATTACTTACGTCCGAGACTTTAAAGCCAAAGTCCAGTACTTCAGATTCTGGTGCCAGGTAGGTGTCATGCCTTCTGAGTTTGAGTGGTTAAACATTTACATTGTTTTTATGATCAACAGAACCACATGAATTCCAATACAGTGACCCAATGAAATGAAAACGATGACCCGCTATTTCTGTTGGCATGTTTGAAAAAATGTATATGCTTCAAAATCACTTATGATTTCCTCTCTTCTTGTCCAGCAATTGTCAATGCCTCAGCACATAAAGATCACTGTCACCCGCAAAACCCTGTTTGAGGACTCGTTCCAGCAAGTTAGTAAACATCCTCCCAAATGAGCATGTTGACACTGACATGTTGTCCATAATAATTTGACTCTCTCCGTTGTAGATAATGAGCTTCAATGCACAGGACCTCCGCAGGAGACTATGGATCATATTCCCTGGCGAAGAAGGCCTCGATTATGGTGGGGTGGCAAGGTAAAGTTCTAATGTACTCTCTTCAAGTGCTCTGGTGCAGTCATTGCACCCCAATAAATAATACGTCATTGTAGTGATGAAGGTACCTTCTGTATCCTCTGGTCAAGGTTTCAGCTATTTTAATTGCCTTGTAAAATATCCTAGATAAGTGGTTGCCTACCAGTTATTTGACCAAGTTATAAAGTATGGTGTTAGCTGGATGCTTGCAGAGAGGTATTGTATTGTGATGAGTGTTATGAAATATCAATTTCTTCCTCTGTAGGGAGTGGTTCTTCCTGCTGTCTCACGAGGTGCTGAACCCCATGTACTGCCTGTTTGAGTATGCTGGGAAGGACAACTACTGCCTGCAGATCAACCCTGCCTCATACATCAACCCTGACCACCTCAAATACTTCAAGTTCATTGGACGCTTCATCGCCATGGTAACTATTTTTAGTCACTATGTTAAGTTCTACTTTTTCTACTGCAATGTGATATGTTTGCAAGTGAAAAGATCTGTTGATGCAGTTGTTGTGCATTTCTAGATGTTAGCCTCCTGAACTCTTTTCCCAGGCTCTTTTCCACGGGAAGTTCATTGACACAGGCTTCTCACTGCCGTTCTACAAGCGTATGCTGAACAAGCCATGGGCACTGAAAGATCTAGAGTCCATTGACCCAGAATTCTACAATTCTCTCATCTGGATTAAGTGAGTCTTCTGAGGAAAATGTACTGATATTAACTTTGGTTGTAAATTATGTTAATGTGTGTTCAATATTTTGGTGGCACACTTAACTTAATGGCCCCATTTTTCTTAATCACAGAGTTGTTGTTTTCCATGTTAAGTCGCTGATACGTGTCTTTATCTGTTGTGCACTTCAGGGAGAATGACATCGAGGAGTGTGGCCTGGAGATGTACTTCTCTGTGGACAAAGAGATTCTGGGTGAAATCACCACTCATGAGCTCAAGCCGGACGGTGGCGAGGTCCTGGTCACAGAGGAGAACAAGGGGGAGTATATTAGGTCTGTCTTAGCATATGGCTGCCTACTCCCCTCCTGACCCATGTTCACTACTTTCATGGTGTGGTGCCTTGATGGTCTGTGTGTTTCTCCCCCAGGCTTGTAGCAGAGTGGAGGCTGTCCAGAGGTGTGGAGGAGCAGACCCAGGCCTTCTTTGAGGGCTTCAACGAGGTCCTCCCACAGCAGTACCTGCAGTACTTTGATGCCAAAGAACTGGAGGTATGAGTTTTAGAGTTTGGCCTAATTATTTACACCAGGTTCCCCATATTCACTCATGTAAAGATGAGTTGTTGTTCCAACGCGTGTTCCATTGAGCCAATTGTGACGTGTCCACGTCCTGCAGGTGATGCTGTGTGGGATGCAGGAGATAGACCTGACAGACTGGCAGAGGAACACCATCTACAGACACTACGCACGCAGCAGCAAGCAGGTCCTCTGGTTCTGGCAGGTCAGTGTTACACAGCTCTCCTCACCAGTGCTACAGTCAGATGCCACATCTCCTCAGTATCAATGCATTCATATCACACACTAAAGAACATGCCTGAACATACTGTACCCTCCTGGACTTCCCTTACAGCTCATCAAAGAGATGGACAACGAGAAGCGGATGAGGCTCCTCCAGTTCGTCACAGGCACCTGTCGCCTTCCTGTTGGAGGCTTTGCTGACCTATTGGGTAAGTTTGAGGCTATTCCTTCCCCTCATGGGTGGATGACATACAATCTACAGAGGTAAAAGATAATGAAACATAACATTGTGCCATTTTTACCTGTAAGTAGTTAGTGACTTACATATTTTGTTTTGTAGGGAGCAATGGCCCGCAGAAGTTCTGCGTTGAGAAGGTGGGAAAGGAGAACTGGCTGCCCAGAAGTCACACCTGGTGAGTACTGTATGGAAGAGAGTCAAGGTTAAAACAGAGGAAAGGCTTCACTCAACAGGTAACTAACCTGCCTCTATTTCCCCCTTTTCTAGCTTCAATCGATTGGATCTCCCTCCTTACAAAAGCTATGAGCAGCTGAAGGAGAAATTGATGTTTGCGATTGAAGAGACTGAGGGCTTTGGGCAGGAGTGATCTAGCAACAGATCGATAGACACATGAGTGTGGTCTTCATTTGTCAGTGTTTAAGCCAGGGAGCCTCTCGAAGACTGGCGTGTGTGTGTAAGCGTGTTTGTGTGTGCGTGCTGTTGAAAGGAGAGACCTTGCTCTAAAATACTGGAAGCCTATTAGAGGTGGGTATTGATCCACAAGAGTAAACTGCTCCCGTCTCATAGAATGCCCCCCCCACGCATTAACGCTGGAAACTCACCCTCAATAACATCATATCATATATGGGACAGGGTTATCAGCAGCATCGGTCCCATCATCCTTTTGATTGACCCACCACTATTTCTGACTATCGCAACACTGTCTTTGAGGAAAATTAATAATTTTATTTCAGATGAAATTACGACCTCTGATCAGACAATGGCCAGATCCAGAAGGTGCACTGCACATGCTTCAAAATAGAACAGTTCTTCTGTTCAAGGCTCCTTAGCATTTATCTGTGAATCAATAAAATATTGCACGGGACAATATTGGCCCCTATATTTATAATGGTACAAGTACATGGATGTGGCTCTACTATGACCCTAGTTTTATAGGGCGTTGTGACATGGTAAAATGTAATATCTTTAAATATTCTGGGGAATAGGAAGTTGAAATGTTTGTGTCCAGAATATTGCCTTGATGTCTTGGGTGATATAAGATTTAACCACGTTGTGTGGCAAGGTTGTGCCTGTGAAGACTAAATATGTAGCTTTTAAAAGTCTGGGAGATTTTTAACAAACTGGTTTATCCATTTTATATTAATGGGAGATGTTTTTCTGGCCGTGGCAAAGGCATGGGAACGTCGGTGGGAATACATCTTTTTGTTTGTTTTTTGGGTTGATTTTGAATAGAAATCCCCACGAAGTTAATGTGTAAATAATGATAATTTATGGTGCGTTGCAAATAAAAAGTCAGCTCCTATTTTTGTCTCCAGATTTATCCTTAATGCAACTTAAACTGCTCTCCCTGTATATGAAATAATGTTGTAAATTGTGTTGATAACAAATTAATTTCATTTAGTAAAATAAAAATAGCATTTAGTAATAAGGGGTGTATTGTGAAACGCCATTTGAAAGATTTTACCCTGTTTGATATGTACATTATGAATTTGTGTAAAAAAAAGAACTGAATAAATTAAATCTATTGGTTTAGTGTTTTTTCCTTTTTGGTGTTACTGGGGTAGTGAAGAAATCAAAACAATCTTTATTTGTTACAATCATATTTAAATTAGTGATACAGCGTCAAATCATAGTTATCCATTTTGAATAGTTAATTTTCATTTTAGCTAAATGCAGCATATTTTGCATGTATTATACATATCGAGTGCATTCCTTAAGTTTCATTCATAGAATGTTATATACACAAAATAGAATTGGTACAGTGGGGGGAAAAAGTATTTAGTCAGCCACCAATTGTGCAAGTTCTCCCACTTAAAAAGATGAGAGAGGCCTGTAATTTTCATCATAGGTACACGTCAACTATGACAGACAAATTGAGAAAAAAAAATCCAGAAAATCACATTGTAGGATTTTTAATGAATTTATTTGCAAATTATGGTGGAAAATAAGTATTTGGTCACCTACAAACAAGCAAGATTTCTGGCTCTCACAGACCTGTAACTTCTTCTTTAAGAGACTCCTCTGTCCTCCACTCGTTACCTGTATTAATGGCACCTGTTTGAACTTTTGTTATCAGTATAAAAGACACCTGTCCACAACCTCAAACAGTCACACTCCAAACTCCACTATGGCCAAGACCAAAGAGCTGTCAAAGGACACCAGAAACACAATTGTAGACCTGCACCAGGCTGGGAAGACTGAATCTGCAATAGGTAAGCAGCTTGGTTTGAAGAAATCAACTGTGGGAGCAATTATTAGGAAATGGAAGACATACAAGACCACTGATAATCTCCCTCGATCTGGGGCTCCACGCAAGATCTCACCCTGTGGGGTCAAAATGATCACAAGAACGGTGAGCAAAAATCCCAGAACCACACGGGGGGACCTAGTGAATGACCTGCAGAGAGCTGGGACCAAAGTAACAAAGCCTACCATCAGTAACACACTACGCCGCCAGGGACTCAAATCCTGCAGTGCCAGACGTGTCCCCCTGCTTGAGCCAGTACATGTCCAGGCCCGTCTGAAGTTTGCTAGAGTGCATTTGGATGATCCAGAAGAGGATTGGGAGAATGTCATATGGTCAGATGAAACCAAAATATAACTTTTTGGTAAAAACTCAACTCGTCGTGTTTGGAGGACAAAGAATGCTGAGTTGCATCCAAAGAACACCATACCTACTGTGAAGCATGGGGGTGGAAACATCATGCTTTGGGGCTGTTTTTCTGCAAAGGGACCAGGACGACTGATCCGTGTAAAGGAAAGAATGAATGGGGCCATGTATCGTGAGATTTTGAGTGAAAACCTGCTTCCATCAGCAAGGGCATTGAAGATGAAACGTGGCTGGGTCTTTCAGCATGACAATGATCCCAAACACACCGCCCGGGCAACGAAGGAGTGGCTTCGTAAGAAGCATTTCAAGGTCCTGGAGTGGCCTAGCCAGTCTCCAGATCTCAACCCCATAGAAAATCTTTGGAGGGAGTTGAAAGTCCATGTTGCCCAGCAACAGCCCCAAAACATCACTGCTCTAGAGGAGATCTGCATGGAGGAATGGGCCAAAACACCAGCAACAGTGTGTGAAAACCTTGTGAAGACTTACAGAAAACGTTTGACCTGTGTCATTGCCAACAAAGGGTATATAACAAAGTATTGAGAAACTTTTGTTATTGACCAAATACTTATTTTCCACCATAATTTGCAAATAAATTCATTAAAAAATCCTACAATGTGATTTTCTGGAGAGAAAAAAATATTATTTTGTCTGTCATAGTTGACGTGTACCTATGATGAAAATTAAAGGCCTCTCTCATCTTTTTAAGTGGGAGAACTTGCACAATTGGTGGCTGACTAAATACTTGTTTCCCCCACTGTACCTCCAAAGGAAGTCAGGAATCTGCACGATAGATTTACTGTTCATGCGGCAGGTGAAAAAATTGACGTCTGGCCATGGATGAGGTACAGTGCCTTCAGAAAATATTTATACCCCTTGACTTATTCCACATTTTGTGTTACAGCCTTTATTCAAAATTAAATGTTTTTCTCACATATCTACATACAATACCCCATAATAACAAAGTGAAAACATGTTTAGAGATTTTTGCTAATTTATTGAAAATGAAATACAGAAATATCTAATTTACATAAGTATTCACACCATTGAGTCAATACTTTGTAGAAGCACCTTTGGCAGTGATTACAGCCGAGTCTTTCTGGGTAAGTCTCTTAAGAGCTTTCCACACATGGATTGTGTAACATTTTCACATTATTATTTTCAAAACACTTCAAGCTCTGTCAAATTGGTTATTGATCATTGCTATACAACCATTTCCAGGTCTTGCCATAGTGTTAAGTCAAAATTGTAACTCGGCCACTCGGTAATATTCACTGTCTTCTTGGTAACCAGCTCAAGTGTATATTTGGCCTTGTGTTTTAGGTTGTTATCCTGCTGAAAGGTGAATTAACCTCCCAGTGTCTGTTAGAAAGGTTTTCCTCTAGGATTTTGCCTGTGCTTAGTTCAATTTATTTTTAATCCTGAAAAACTCCCCAGTCCTTAACTATTACAAGCATACCCATAATATGATGCAGCCACCACTATGGTTGAAAATATGGGGAGTGGTACTCAGTAATGTGTTGTATTGGATTTGCCCCAAACATACCACTTTATATTCAGGACCAAAAGTTAATTGCTTTGCCACATTTTTTGCAGTATTACTTTAGTGCCTAGTTGCAAGCAGGATGCATGTTTTGGAAAATGTGTATTCTGTACAGGCTTCCTTCTTTTCACTGTCAATTAGGTTAGTATTGTGGAGTAACTACAATGTTGTTGATCCATCCCCAGTTTTCACCTATCTCAGCCATTAAACCTCAGCCATTAAGCCATTGGCCTCATGGTGAAATCCCTGAGCGGTTTCCATCTTCTCCTGCAGAGTTAGGAAGGACGCCTGTATCTTTGTAGTGACTGGGTGTATTGATATTCCATCCAAAGTGTATTAATAAGTTCACCATGCTCAAAGGGATATTCAATGTTTTTTTTTTTTTTTTTTTACCCGTCTACCAATAGGTGCCCTTCTTTGCGAGGCATTAGAAAACCTCCCTGGTCTTTGTGGTTCAATCTGTGATTGAAATTTACTGCTCGACTGAGGGACCTTACAGATAATTGTATGTGTGGGGTAAAGAGATGAGGTAGTCATTAAATAAATTATGTTAAACACTATTATTGCACACAGAGTGAGTCCATGGAACTTTACTTATTAAGCACATTTTTACTCCTGAACTTGCCATACAAAGGGGTTGAATACTTATTGACTCAAGACATTTCAGGTTTTCATTTAAAAAAATTCAACAATTCCTCTTTGACAATATGGGGTATTGTGTGTAGACAGTCCATTTTAAATTCAGGGTGTAACACAAAATTTGGAAAAAGTCAAGGGTTGTGAATACTTTCTGAAGGCACTGTAACTCACTGTTCTGAATAACAATCATCACTGTGAAAGGAAAAAGTGCCAAGCTTCAATGTTTTAATATAAAACAAATAATCGACACCCCTTTCATTTAATTGGAGGGATATAGTGAGATTCATATCCCTTCCACATGCAAAGGTAGTCTCAGGACAAGCTTTTCAAGATTCTGCTTGAATAACTCAGGTCTAGTCTTGGCACCAGTCTGTTTAGCTATCTTTCCACTCCTGTCATGCTAAACTTTGGCATATGACAAGGAGTACAAGGAGTGGAATGTTAGCTAAACAGACTGGTACCCAGGCTAACTCAGGCCTCAATCCACTGTCTCTACAAACATGGGTAATCTGCTGTAACCAGCCAGTCTCACTCCACTCAGCAGTCTCCAAAGTGTTCCTCCTGCTCTGCCTCTCCTCCCTCCAACTGATCCTCAACTGGGACAATTGACATCATCGCCTGAGGGTCCTTGATCCTCTCCTCCTCTTCATCATCCTCCTCCTCCTCCTCCTCCTCCTCCTCCTCCTCGTCGTCATCATCATCTTCCCCCTCCCTTTCATCCACCTCTTCCCTGCTCTGTTCAATCTCTGACTCCTCCTGGTTCCCATTTGACCCCTGGTTCCCCTCTGTTCTGTGTCCCTGCCTCTTCCTCGTCACTCTTTTCTCTGCCCCGTCCTTCTCCACCGCAGCCCCTGCCATGGGGCACTTGTGGTCTCTGTAATACTTCTGTCGGGTGAAGCCCTTTTTGCAGGTGGCACAGCGGAAACGATAGTTGTTTGTGTGTGAGCGTTGGTGCTCAAGCATGTGGGCTCTTCTGCTGAAAGCTTTCTGGCAGTACCCACATTTATAGGGCTTGATACCTTGGGACGACAGAAATAAAAGTATGGCTCTCAATTGTTTTGAATCCTCACTTTAAATGGCTGTCAAGAGCTGCAACAAGGTAAATTATGTTTACAGCTGTGATTGGTGTATTAATCATTTACTACAACAGACAGGAAATACTCACCAGAATGAGACAGTATGTGTGCCTTCAACTTGTCTGGTCTGTTAAACTCTTTAGTGCAGCCAACATGTGTCCTGAAAGCACAAAATAATGCTTTGAATACACCAATAAAAAAACAGAGCTTTCTGTTACATTGACGTCAAAAGATATCCCCAGGTTTTTATTGGATTCCTTTGTGGCTCAGGTTTCCAAATAGCCTCACATATGATCTGTTCGAAAAACAGAAGCCTCACTTACCTAAACGGACATTTGTATTTCTTAAAGGGCTCATGAATGAGCATGTGCCTCTTCACCTTGTCCTTCCTGTTGAACATGGCCTCGCAAACAGAACATTTATATGGCTTTTCTCCTGCAATGAAATGACAGTGTTGCCATAAGCACAGTAGAGAGAACCGAGTGAAAGTTATTTGCACCATGGGGTAATGTGTCTGCATGCCTCACCTGAGTGGATAAGAGTGTGCAGTTTGAGGTAGTGCTCTGTTTTGAAGAACTTTGTACATATCTGACATTTGAACCTCCCTCCGATACCATGTGTGGGCAGGTGCCGCCGGAAATACCTCTCACAAGTAAAAACCTGATAAAAAGATATGCATTATTTAGAGTGACTTAATCCTAACATAGCAGCGAGTGACATACATTTTTTCTAGAGCATACCTTTTGGCAATGTGGGCAGGGGAAGTTATGTGAGGCGGTTAACAAATGCTGCTCCAAGGCCTCTTGCGTGGAGTACCGGCTTTGGCATTTCATGCACCTGAGTGTGAAAGAAACACTGGTGAAACCACTAACCCCATGGGGTCAAACTGAAGGCCATATAAAACACTGAGAGAAGCTGTGATCACACTGAAAAGAAAGCAATTGACTGAACTTTGTAAGCATTAGTATGGCCAAATTAGGAGAGTGGAGATAGTGAAGGTGACCTATAGAAAGTGGTCTCCTTGCGTGGGTTCTGCTGGGGACAGAAGCAGTGGGAGTACTGGTGCACCCCCAGCTCAAACAGCGAGGGGAACACCTTGCTACACAGGTGGCAGCGGTAGGTGAGCTGCTCCTGGTGCGTCCGGATGTGCTCCAGGAACAGATCCAGCTTCTGGAACGTCTGGGAACAGGACTTCACTACACACTTATATACCTGAAACACAGCAGGAAGAAACATTAGAAGGATTAGTGGTGAGAACAGAGCTCTTAAGGAAGACATCTGACACAATCACATTTCTATTTGAATACCTGTGCAAAGGAGAACAAAAAAGTTTGCCAAATAATATGCATAATAAGACTTGTGCATGAGTGCTTCATTACTGTTCTGGGTAGATCCTTCCCTCTGGCCATGTGGACTCACCTGCTCCCCTTTGTGCTGGGTCATGTGAGATTTGAGCTGGAAGTAGGTGCTGAACTTGCTGGCACAGAACTGGCACTGGTAGGAGCTGTCGATCAGGATGATCTGCTTGGTCTGGGCCTGCTGGCCGTTCTGCTTGCCGTGACCATCACCCAGGCTGTCACAGTCTCTCTCCTCAGGCTTACCTGGGGCTTCTGGACACACATTCAGCACACAATCTACATTTATAATACATACTTAGGCCCTTAATAATACATACAGTGGGGTGAACAAGTATTTGATACACTGCCGATTTTGCAGGTTTTCCTACTTACAAAGCATGTAGAGGTCTGTAATTGTTATCATAGGTACACTTCAACTGTGAGAGACGGAATCTAAAACAAAAATCCAGAAAATCACATTGTATGATTTTTTAAGTAATTAATTTGCATTTTATTGCATGACATAAGTATTTGATACATCAGAAAAGCAGAACTTAATATTTGGTACAGAAACCTTTGTTTGCAATTACAGACAGAGATCATACATTTCCTGTAGGTCTTGACCAGGTTTGCACACAATGCAGCAAGGATTTTGGCCCACTCCTCCATACAGACCTTCTCCAGATCCTTCAGGTTTCGGGGCTGTCGCTGGGCAATACGGACTTTCAGCTCCCTCCAAAGATTTTCTATTGGGTTCAGGTCTGGAGACAGGCTAGGCCACTCCAGGACCTTGAGATGCTTCTTACGGAGCCACTCCTTAGTTGCCCTGGCTGTGTGTTTCAGGTCGTTGTCATGCTGGAAGACCCAGCCACGACCCATCTTCAATGCTCTTACTGAGGGAAGGAGGTTGTTGGCCAAGACCTCGCGATACATGGCCCCATCCATCCTCCCCTCAATACGGTGCAGTCGTCCTGTCCCCTTTGCAGAAAAGCATCCCCAAAGAATGATGTTTCCACCTCCATGCTTCACGGTTGGGATGGTGTTCTTGGGGTTGTACTCATCCTTCTTCTTCCTCCAAACACGGCGAGTGGAGTTTAGACCAAAAAGCTCTATTTTTGTCTCATTAGACCACATGACCTTCTCCCATTCCTCCTCTGGATCATCCAGATGGTCATTGGCAAACTTCAGACAGGCCTGGACATGCGCTGGCTTGAGCAGGGGGACCTTGCGTGCGCTGCAGGATTTTAATCCATGACGGCGTAGTGTGTTACTAATGGTTTTCTTTGAGACTGTGGTCCCAGCTCTCTTCAGGTCATTGACCAGGTCCTGCTGTGTAGTTCTGGGCTGATCCCTCACCTTCCTCATGATCATTGATGCCCCACGAGGTGAGATCTTGCATGGAGCCCCAGACCGAGGGTGATTGACCGTCCTCTTGAACTTCTTCCATTTTCTAATAATTGCGCCAACAGTTGTTGTCTTCTCACCAAGCTGCTTGCCTATTGTCCTGTAGCCCATCCCAGCCTTGTGCAGGTCTACAATTTTATCCCTGATGTCCTTACACAGCTCTCTGGTCTTGGCCATTGTGGAGAGGTTGGAGTCTGTTTGATTGAGTGTGTGGACAGGTGTCTTTTATACAGGTAACGAGTTCAAACAGGTGCAGTTAATACAGGTAATGAGTGGAGAACAGGAGGGCTTCTTAAAGAAAAACTAACAGGTCTGTGAGAGCCGGAATTCTTACTGGTTGGTAGGTGATCAAATACTTATGTCATGCAATAAAATGCAAATTAAATTACTTAAAAATCATACAATGTGATTTTCTGGATCACAGTTGAAGTGTACCTATGATAAAAATTACAGACCTCTACATGCTTTGTAAGTAGGAAAACCTGCAAAATCGGCAGTGTATCAAATACTTGTTCTCCCCACTGTACATTATGACATTCACTACCGGTCAAAAGTTTGGATGACATAGTGGTAATAAGTAATGATAACCAAAATCTTATGTCAATGAAGTACACTACTGGTCAAAAGTTTTAGAACACCTACTCCTTCGAGTAGGGGGGGGTATACAGAAGATAGCCCTATTTGGTAAAAGACCAAGTCCATATATTGTGGCAAGAACAGCTCAAATAAGCGAGGACAAACAACAGTCCATCATTACTTTAAGACGTGAAGGTCAATACGGAAAATGTCAAGAACTTTGTGCAGTCTTCAAGTGCAGTCGCAAAAACCATCAAGCGCTATGATGAAACTGGCTCTCATGAGGACCGCCACAGGAATGGAAGACCCAGAGTTACCTCTGCTGCAGAGGATAAGTTCATTAGAGTTACCAGCCTCAGAAATTGCAGCCCAAATACATGCTTCACAGAGTTCAAGTAACAGACATCTCAACATCAACTGTTCAGAGGAGACTGTGTGAATCAGGCCTTCATGGTCGAATTGCTGCAAAGAAACCACTACTAAACACCAATAATAAGAAGAGACTTGCTTGGGCCAAGAAACACGAGCAATGGACATTAGACCGGTGGAAATGTGTCCTTTGGTCTGGAGTCCAAATTTGAGAATTTTGATTCCAACCGCCGTGTCTTTGTGAGACGCGGTGTGGGTGAACGGATGATCTCCACATGTGTATTTCCCACCGTAAAGCATGGAGGTGGAGGTGTTATGGTGTGGGGGTGCTTTGCTGGTGACACTGTCTGTGATTTATTTAGAATTCAAGGCACACTTAACCAGCATGGCTACCACAGCATTCTGCAGCGAAACACCATCCCATCTGGTTTGGGCTTAGTGGGACTATCATTTGTTTTTCAACAGGACAATGACCCAACACACTTCCAGGCTGTGTAAGGGCTATTTTACCAAGACAAAGGAGAGTGATGGAGTGCTGCATCAGATGACCTGGCCTCCACAATCCCCCCGACCTCAACCAAATTGAGATGGTTTGGGATGAGTCGGAGCGCAGAGTGAAGGAAAAGCAGCCAACAAGTGCTCAGCATATGTGGGAACTCCTTCAAGACTGTTGGAAAAGCATTCCAGGTGAAGCTGGTTGAGAGAATGCCAAGAGTGTGCAAAGCTGTTATCAAGTCAAAGGGTAGCTATTTGAAGAAACTCAAATATAAAATATATTTTGATTTGTTTAACACTTTTTTGGTTACTACATGATTCCATATGTGTTATTTCATAGTTTTGATGTCTTCACTATTATTCTACAATGTAGAAAATAGTAAAAATAAAGAAAAACCCTTGAATGAGTAGGTGTTCTAAAACTTTTGACCGGTAGTGTACTTCATTGACTTAAGATTTTGGTTATCATTACTTATTACCACTATGTCATCCTCAAAAGGTCTCAATGGCCCATAGAGAAATAATAATGATTCCACAGTGAAATGATTACCTGGCTGCTCCTCTTCCTCATGCTGTTGTTCCTCCTGTTGCTCCATGACCTCCTCTGCACACAGTGGGACCACCTTGACTGTGATGGGCAGCCTGGACACCGTACTGGGCAGCCTGGACACCGTACTGGGCAGCCTGGACACCGTACTGGCCACGCCCGAGGGCCACACTTTGTGTGTCTGCATGTGCTTCTTCACATTAGACTTCTGGGCAAAGGCCCGGCCACATACAATGCACTGGAAAGGCTTCTCCCCTGTATGACTGTAGAGACATCAAAGATTATAATGTAAAACATATGATTTTCTTATCCTGGGTAGATTCAATGCATACTGATATTGCTTTTCTGTTTGGGCTGAATGGTAAATGTGATTTGTTAAGCTCACCTTCTGATATGTTGCTGGAGATCAAAGTTTTTGGAGAATACTTTTTCACAGAAATTGCACTTCAGCTTCTGTGACTTTCCTTTCATTTGTTCTGCTGAAAAGCCAATGGATATGAACAACGGACAACATTATTTCATTTTGCCAATGATGAGAAACAATGTAAAAATATATTTTTTAGGATCAGACCAATATGTACTGTATATTGACATTTGTTTTCAAAATCATACCCGCTGCTCCATTCTGGCCTTTCTTGCCATTTTTGGGTCGTTTAGGAATGATCACTTTGTCAAACTCCCCAAGCTCAGTTAGGTTTGCAGTGATGCTGCAGGTTTTGGTTTTGGTGCCTTGCTTCCCCGGGCTGTATACTGGAGGAGTGTTGAATGACTGGCTCTCCACACACTGACTGGGGACCTGTGGGCATAAATAATACACGCATTGTGTTAGTGAACTACTGAGCCAAACTCTTTAGGAAGTTGCCCAAACACTGCAGAGTACAAGTCTGTCATCCTCCTCATTCTCTGTTAGTAAAAACTCACCTGTACAGATTGGAACAGCTGCAAGCCCAGGGTGTGAATCTCTGCACTACCACTCCCAGACATTTGAGGCATTGCGCTGTAGACCTGGACCACTGAGTTGCTGACACTGGATGGCACAGGCTGAGACTGTCCGGGTGGGAGAGAGTGGGAGGACTGCTGATGGTGCTGAAGGTAGGATGCACCTGTGTGCATACTCAGGTTACTCTAAGAAGGAAAGGTAATGAAAATGATCGGAGAGGTTGAGAGTAGAAGAAGTTCAGGAGCAAAATATATATATCTATAATAGAATTATTGTAAAATTAACTGTGTCCATAAGGTGTAGATAGTAAGTATAGACCGGAAGTAGAGGCCTGGGCATTGTTGTTCACTAACTTACTCCAAGTAGGGAAAGGATGGCGGGGTTGAAAAGTAATAAAAGGGAGTATATATATAAAAAACATGGGGGATTGGAAGTGATGCAGACAATTACATTGATAGAAGATACAATCTATCTGAAATATTAAGCTGATCCATCCCCCCCAAAGAAAAAAAAAGAAAAAGAAGGAAAGGTAAACAAGATATGTAGTGAATAAAGGCTGAAAGAATATACTTCTTACTGAGAAGAATAGCTTAATTGGGGATGCAAAGTTCCGTTAACTTGGGTGGGAAACTTTCCGGAATTGTTAGGCAATAAGCAGGGAAATCCCAAATCATCCAAACTGGATTTCTGGAAAACCAGGGAATCTTGGGGAAGTTACTGGAATTGTGCAACCCTATACTTAATTGAATGAAAACAACTTACCTGAATAGGGGGCTGCATTGCTGCCATGGGTTGGTCAATGGATGTGAAAGCGGAGATGGCAGACATCAGAACATCATCACTCACTAAAACATTGCCTTGGACCAGTGTGTGAGTAAGAGGAGATGGAGGCACTGTGATGTATGTGGATACCTGATGTGGATGGCCAAACAAAGAAAAAAGGAAGACTACATTATTGCATTTACATTGCAAGTGAATGATAGTTCTGGAGCATGCTATGATAGTTCTGGAGCATGCTATGATAGTCCCCAGCCCATACAGTAAGTACAGGAGATCGGTAACTAGTTTATTTTGCCAGACTCATGGCGCGCCGCTGTGGGAAGAGACTAAGTAATAAAAAAACATCTTAGCTACCAATCAAAATCATACGTCATAAGCCAGTAGTACAGTACCCACCTGTCTGTTGGCGGGGGTCTGTGGCACAGAGCTAATGGAGGGCACAGGGGTGTAGGCGTTACTAGATGCCAGTGATACTGTAGACAGGGAAGGGGCATTGGACTGGCATTGCTCTCTCTTGTGGGTCATAAAGGCAGGCAATAAGTTGAACTGTTTCTTGCACTTCCCACAAAGAAAGACATCTTCATCATCTGTAGAGAACAATTGGGAATGTACAGTGCCTTCAGAAAGTATTCACACCCTTTGATTTTTTCCATAATTTGTTGCATTACAGCCTGAATTTAAAATAGATTAAACTGAGATTATGTCACCACCCTACACACAATACCCCATAATGTCAAAGTGGAATTATGTTCAAGAGTAAAAATGTGCTCAACAAGTCACATAACAAGTTGCACGGACTCACTGTGTGCAATAATATTGTTTAACATGATTTCCACAGTGTGGAATGACTACCTCATCTCTGTACCCCACACATACAACCCTCTGTAAGGTCCCTCAGTTGAGCAGTGAATTTCAAACACATATTCAACCACAAAGACCAGGGAGGTTTGCCAATGCCATTGAATATCCCTTTGAGCATGATAAAGTTATTAATTACACTTTGGATGTTGTATCAACACACCCAGTCACAACAAAGATACAGGCGTCCTTCCTAACTCAGTTGCCGGAGAGGAAGGAAACCGCTCAGGGATTTCACCATGAGGCCAACGGTGACTTTAAAACAGTTACACAGTTTAATGGCTGTAATAAGAAAAAACTGAGGATGGACATTGTACTTTTTTTTTCTTTTTTTTTTTTTAGGGGGTAGATCAGCTTTAATATTTCAGATAGATTGTAACTTCCATCAATGTAATTGTCTGCATCACTTCCAATCCTCCATATGTTTTTTTTCTCTCGCATATACAGTATGTATATACAGTGGGGAGAACAAGTATTTGATACACTGCCGATTTTGCAGGTTTTCCTACTTACAAAGCATGTAGAGGTCTGTAATTTTGATCATAGGTACACTTCAACTGTGAGAGACGGAATCTAAAACAAAAATCCAGAAAATCACATAGTATGATTTTTAAGTAATTAATTTGCATTTTATTGCATGACATAAGTATTTGATACATCAGAAAAGCAGAACTTAATATTTGGTACAGAAACCTTTGTTTGCAATTACAGAGATCATACGTTTCCTGTAGGTCTTGACCAGGTTTGCACACACTGCAGCAGGGATTTTGGCCCACTCCTCCATACAGACCTTCTCCAGATCCTTCAGGTTTCGGGGCTGTCGCTGGGCAATACGGATTTTCAGCTCCCTCTAAAGATTTTCTATTTGGTTCAGGTCTGGAGACTGGCTAGGCCACTCCAGGACCTTGAGATGCTTCTTACGGAGCCACTCCTTAGTTGCCCTGGCTGTGTGTTTCAGGTCGTTGTCCTGCTGGAAGACCCAGCCAAGACCCATCTTCAATGCTCTTCCTGAGGGAAGTAGGTTGTTGGCCAAGATCTCGCGATACATGGCCCCATCCATCCTCCCCTCAATACGGTGCAGTCGTCCTGTCCCCTTTGCAGAAAAGCATCCCCAAAGAATGATGTTTCCACCTCCATGCTTCACGGTTGGGATGGTGTTCTTGGGGTTGTACTCATCCTTCTTCTTCCTCCAAACACGGCGAGTGGAGTTTAGACCAAAAAGCTCTATTTTTGTCTCATCAGACCACATGACCTTCTCCCATTCCTCCTCTGGATCATCCAGATGGTCATTGGCAAACTTCAGACGGGCCTGGACATGCGCTGGCTTGAGCAGGGGGACCTTGCGTGCGCTGCAGGATTTTAATCCATGATGGCGTAGTGTGTTACTAATGGTTTTCTTTGAGACTGTGGTCCCAGCTCTCTTCAGGTCATTGACCAGGTCCTGCCGTGTAGTTCTGGGCTGATCCCTCACCTTCCTCATGATCATTGATGCCCCATGAGGTGAGATCTTGCATGGAGCCCCAGACCGAGGGTGATTGACCGTCCTCTTGAACCTCTTCCATTTTCTAATAAATTGCGCCAACAGTTGTTGCCTTCTCACCAAGCTGCTTGCCTATTGTCCTGTAGCCCATCCCAGCCTTGTGCAGGTCTACAATTTTATCCCTGATGTCCTTACACAGCTCTCTGGTCTTGGCCATTGTGGAGAGGTTGGAGTCTGTTTGATTGAGTGTGTGGACAGGTCTCTTTTATACAGGTAACGAGTTCAAACAGGTGCAGTTAATACAGGTAATGAGTGGAGAACAGGAGGGCTTCTTAAAGAAAAACTAACAGGTCTGTGAGAGCCGGAATTCTTACTGGTTGGTAGGTGATCAAATACTTATGTCATGCAATAAAATGCAAATTCATTATTTAAAAATCATACAATGTGATTTTCTGGATTTTTGTTTTAGATTCCGTCTCTCACAGTTGAAGTGTACCTATGATAAAAATTACAGACCTCTACATGCTTTGTAAGTAGGAAAACCTGCAAAATCGGCAGTGTATCAAATACTTGTTCTCCCCACTGTACATACATCCATACACACACACATATCCTTTTTTAAATTATTTTTCCCTTCATTACTTTCCAACCCCACCACCGCTTCCCCAATTGGAGTAAACTAGTGAACAACAACGCGTAGGCCTCTACTTCCAGCCCATATGTACTATATACATTTTATGGACACAGTCAAATTCTACAATAATTATATTTTGTTTATTTTTACTCCTGAACTTCCTCCGATCATTTTCATGATGTCCATCTGGTTTGCTTCTATATGCCATATTTTTCTAACTGTGCTCTTTCAGAAAAGCTCTCAACCTATAACCTATATACTTATTATGGACACTGTACTTATTCCACAATACTAACCTAAATGACAAAGTGAAAATAAGGAAGTGTGTACAGAATATGAATATTCCAAAACATGCATCCTGTTTGCAATACAACACATCACTGAGTACCAATCTCCATATTTTCAAGCATGGTGGTGGCTGCATCATGTTATGGGTATGCTTGTTATCAGCAAGGACTAGGGAGTTTTTTTTTTGGATAAAAAGAAACAGAATAGAGCAAAGCACAGGCAAAATCCTAGAGGAAAACCTGGTTCAGTCTGTTTTCCAACAGACACTGGGAGACAAATTCCCCTTTCAGCAGGACAATAACCTAAAACACAAGGCCAAATATAAACTGGAGTTGCTTACCAAGATGACATTGACTGTTCCGGAGGGGCCTAGTTATAGTTTTGACTTAAATCTGCTTTAAAATCTATGGCAAGACTTGAAAATGGATGTCTAGCAATGATCAACAACCAACTTGACAGAGCTTGAAGAATTCTAAAAAGAATAATGTGCAAATATTGTACAATCCAGGTGTGCAAAGCTCTTAGAGACTTACCCAGAAAGACTCACAGCTGTAATCGCTGCCAAAGGTGATTCTAACATGTATTGACTCAGGGATGTGAATACTTTTGTAAATGAGATTTCTGTATTTCTGTTTCAATTTCTAAAAACATTTTTGCCATTATGGGGTATTGTGTGTAGATGAGTGAGACATAATATATTTTGAATTCAAGCTGTAACACAACTAAATGTGGAATAAGGGGTATGAATACTTTCTGAAGGCAGTGTATCAACACTTCAGTATTTCAACTGCAATCAGTGGAGATACAGAATGCACCCTTGTTTTGAGTTACTGTAGTACCTAGTTTTCTCTGATCAACACATTAGAAATTGCAGTCAGACAAAAATTAAGAGGATAAAGGGAAGTGGAGGGACGCACACACCCATTGCCTGAATGGTAGATGAGCCTGAGACGTTCTGGTTGTTTGGGTCAGAGACACCTCCCTGGCCATCCAACAGAGACTGGACAGCCAGGACTGTCTGGTTGTCCATCCCTGGAAGAGAATAATTGATCTGGAGGTCAGAACGGTGCAGATCATGGTGATGATATACCATAGAGTAGTACGACAGGAACAAATCAAAATAGGATTGGTGCGCCACTTCTATTCCGACAACAAGCAAGTCTCTCAGTGGGTTGTAGCGCAAGTGGCTATTGTTTCAATGCGACATACTCCCTCTTCTCAAAGAATCACCAAACCAAGGAAATAGCTATGCATTACCATAAGCAAATGTAAAGAACACACGCAAAATTATCCAAATCCACTCAACGAAATGATAACTAGCTAGCTCTCTGGCATCGATTATTATATAAATTGTCCTTTATCATATCACATTGACATAATTACACCTCCTAGATAACCCAAAATAACCTCACTTTTTCCAGAAAACGTTGTCTTACAACCCATTCATATGTTGTTAAATTAAAAGTGTGAATATGATCAATGTGTCGATACCTTCCAGGACTTCAAATATAGCCTGCGCCATCTTGTAGTTCTTCTGTGTGTAGGCGCTCGATGAACACGACTGCGTATCCGATAACGTTATGTGGGCGGATTCTCTCCGCCCAACAACTGGTCCAGGGCCAGTTTCAACAGTTTTGGTCTTCTATTTTTAGTTAAGGATTCGGGTAGGAAAGGCTGATCCCAAGTCAGACATTAACTCATTCATCTCCCCTCTCAATTTGCTTCACAAAATAGTTACCAAAGAATAAAGCTAATCAAACAACTCATGATATATTCAAAGGTACACTTTCTCACATTTTATCTATTAGCCAAAAACATGTTTTCCCATTCATAACAATGAAAAGCGTGGCATCACAGAGAGTCTGGGAAATTCTGACGTTCGAGGGGCGCATTCGCTCAACCAATTGAAATCGTGATATTCATGCACGTGCATGTTTCGCGGCAAAAATATTTGGCGCGTAAACATCAACCCTTGTTCTGATCAGCTGGAACAATAACAACAATAACACAGTCGATTTGGCGCTCAGATTATAATTTTTATGGATGGACTTCAGTCAAGGTGATCAGCAAGAGGATCCATATAATTCGTTTATCGGATATGTTGATTTTTTTGGGAATATTTGCCATTCTTTCGGTTTTGTTGGATTGATTCCAGGGTATGCTAACCAAAACGAGAAGGTGAAGAACTGAGTTGGCTAGTAACATTACTGTAGGTAGCTAGCATTCCAACGTGCCCTAATTGTCATTTGAAAGGATGCATAATACATCCAGTTATTCTTCCAAGGTAGCTGAAATAAAAGTTCATGTTAGTGCAATATTGCGTTAGGAAGAGTAAACGCTATTTAGGTTGCTGATTTGTTTATAGTTAATATGTTGCTGGTAAATTACGTCTGAAACTGAGTTGGCTTGTGTCTTCTGTCCCATCCTAACCCTAAAGCGAACACAACCCCTTTACAATACCAGCTAGGTAGCTAACTACAGTAGCTAAGTTTTTCTAGGTCGTTGGATGCAGTATTCAAGGAACTCTGCTCGCTAGCGACACAGTAAGCAAATTATTAGCTTTACAAACTGTACCGAACGAAAGTTATTTTGATGTCAACCAACGTTAGCTAACTAATTAGCAATTGACAAAGGGAAAGTAGTTGCTAGATGTGGCCAGGCCTCACCGCACACTCATTGTAAAGATGAAAACAATAGATTGCATAGAAAAGCTAGCAGCCAGTTAGCACGCTAGCTAACATTCGTGCATGTTTATTTCACTTTTGTAAGCTATAGAAACATTATTCAATACATCAATTTATCTTGTATAGTTACGGACTGTAACTACTGTCTGCTAGACTGCAGCTGTCAGAAAGCGCAACAACTGTCTCTAACGTTATTTTATAACTGGATAATTGTTAATTGTTAGGAAGCACCACCATACATTACCATGCATTTTTGATTTTGTTCGTTTTAGTTGTTGAAGCTTTATTGTCAGCAAGCTAATGTTAATATTATACATGCTTAATCTCAGTATTTGTAGGTCAACTCTTCTAATACGTTTGCACTATTATTCACATACATTAGAGATGACTTGTGTCAGAAGGTGCTGATAGTAGCATATCAAGCCATTGGACTTGAATTCTGCCCCAAAACACAATTTAGGGAACTAGAGCACCCCAGTTGTGTGTGCAATGTCAGAGGCACTAGTATCAGGTCAGACTTCGGAGGATCTTTTGGCAGACTTTGAGTCTCTTTTGAATGCTGGGAGTATTGACCTAGCCAAGGACCACAGGATAGTCATCATTTCCACCCCCAGCAATGTGGGCTTAAACTCAGCTGTCCCCAGCAACACTGGAGAGATCCTCCTGTTCGCTACCCCCCAAGGCCCTGAGGATGTGGTCCAGGACCAGCGACTGCCAACTCTGGGACGACCTCCGGTAGGTAGTTAACTGACCATTTTGATATGGGTGTTGGCCGGGGTGTGAATATGATGTAAAGTTATCCCTGTACAATGACTACAGAAAGTGTGTATGTGTGAGAGAATGATCTGTAGCATCCATACTAACTTTTTAGCACCCCCCCATAACTTCTGTTTCAGGTGAAGAGGAAGCTGGACTTGGACAGTGATCACCAGTATGTGAGCACCTCTCGCCCACCTTCTCTTGGGAGGGCCCCAACGTCCACACCAGCACCACCCAGAGGTACAGCCCCCTGTTCTACATTCACAATTCAAATATAACTATTCATTTTAATTCAGTTGTAACTATTATAATTTTGGCCAAAGACAATAAAATTATTTTCCTTATTGTGTCCTTCTCTCAGTTCCAAAGCCTTCGACAGAGAAGTCTCGCTATGATACATCTTTGAACCTGACCACCAAGCGCTTCTTGGACCTGCTAGCCCAGTCTCCTGACGGGGTGGTGGACCTCAACTGGGCCTCGCAGGTCCTGGAAGTGCAGAAGAGACGCATCTATGACATCACCAATGTCCTGGAGGGTATCCAGCTCATCTCTAAGAAATCAAAGAACAACATACAATGGCTGTAAGTCTGAACTCTCATACTGTACATACAGTATGACAATATCAAAAGTGTGTTCTGGCCTTTCTGGCTTAGAATCCTTATTGTGCTGGCCTCTACAGATATTTATTATATTTTTTATTTTATCTTTATTTAACTAGGCAAGTCAGTTAAGAACAAATTCTTATTTACAATGACAGTCTACACCGGCCAAACCCAGACGATGCTGGGCCAATTGTGTGCCGCCCTATGGGACTCCCAATCACGGCCGGTTGTGATACAGCCTGGAATCGAACCAGGGGGTCTGTAGTGATGCCTCAATCACTGAGATGCAGTGCCTTAGACTGCTGCGCCAATCGGGAGCCCAAATATCATTCAATACATACACCACATCATCAGTGATTCCACAGGATATGTGTATTAGCAACACTTTTTTTCCATTATCCTAACATTCTGTTTGTGACAGGGGGAACCGCATTGATGGAGCATCTGTTTCCCGTTACCAGGACCTACAGAAAGAGGTCTCTGACTTGACACAGGCGGAGGAGAAACTGGATGAGCTCATTACCAAGTGTAACCTCCAGCTCAGACTCCTCACTGAGGATACCCAGAACAAGAAATATCCTTTTGTGTCTTGTCTGTCTTTCTGTTTGTGTGTCTGTGCTTTTTGTATCTACTGTACAGTGGGGAAAAAGTATTTAGTCAGCCACCAATTGTGCAAATTCTCCCACTTAAAAAGATGAGAGAGGCCTGTAATTTTCGTCATCGGTACACGTCAACTATGACAGACAAAATGAGAAAAGAAAATCACATTGTAGGATTTTTAATGAATTTATTTGCAAATTATGGTGGAAAATAAGTATTTGGTCAATAACAAAAGTTTCTCAATACTTTGTTATATACCCTTTGTTGGCAATGACACAGGTCAAATGTTTTCTGTAAGTCTTCACAAGGTTTTCACACACTGTTGCTGGTATTTTGGCCCATTCCTCCATGCAGATCTCCTCTAGAGCAGTGATGTTTTGGGCTGTCGCTGGGCAACACGGACTTTCAACTCCCTCCAAAGATTTTCTATGGGGTTGAGATCTGGAGACTGGCTAGGCCACTCCAGGACCTTGAAATGCTTCTTACGAAGCCACTCCTTCGTTGCCCAGGCGGTGTGTTTGGGATCATTGTCATGCTGAAATACCCAGCCACGTTTCATCTTCAATGCCCTTGCTGATGGAAGGAGGTTTTCACTCAAAATCTCACGATACATGGCCCCATTCATGCTTTCCTTTACACGGATCAGTCGTCCTGGTCCCTTTGCAGAAAAACAGCCCCAAAGCATGATGTTTCCACCCCCATGCTTCACAGTAGGTATGGTGTTCTTTGGATGCAACTCAGCATTCTTTGTCCTCCAAACACGACGAGTTGAGTTTTTACCAAAAAGTTATATTTTGGTTTCATCTGACCATATGACATTCTCCCAATCCTCTTCTGGATCATCCAAATGCACTCTAGCAAACTTCAGACGGTCCTGGACATGTACTGGCTTAAGCAGGGGGACACGTCTGGCACTGCAGGATTTGAGTCCCTGGCGGCGTAGTGTGTTACTGATGGTAGGCTTTGTTACATTGGTCTCAGCTCTCTGCAGGTCATTCACTAGGTCCCCCCGTGTGGTTCTGGGATTTTTGCTCACCGTTCTTGTGATCATTTTGACCCCATGGGGTGAGATCTTGCGTGGAGCCCCAGATCGAGGGAGATGATCAGTGGTCTTGTATGTCTTCCATTTCCTAATAATTGCTCCCACAGTTGATTACTTCAAACCAAGCTGCTTACCTATTGCAGATTCAGTCGTTCCAGCCTGGTGCAGGTCTACAATTTTGTTTCTGGTGTCCTTTGACATCTCTTTGGTCTTGGCCATAGTGGAGTTTGGAGTGTGACTGTTTGAGGTTGTGGACAGGTGTCTTTTATACTGATAACAAGTTCAAACAGGTGCCATTAATACAGGTAACGAGTGGAGGACAGAGGAGCCTCTTAAAGAAGAAGTTACAGGTCTGTGAGAGCCAGAAATCTTGCTTGTTTGTAGGTGACCAAATACTTATTTTCCACCATAATTTGCAAATAAATTCATTAAAAATCCTACAATGTGATTTTCTGGAATTTCTTTCCTCAATTTGTCTGTCATAGTTGACGTGTACCTATGATGAAAATTACAGGCCTCTCTCATCTTTTTAAGTGGGAGAACTTGCACAATTGGTGGCTGACTAAATACTTTCCCCCCCCACTGTATGTATTTCAATATGCATTATAGGGCAGTGTTTTTTCTTTAACATAATAGCACGCTGGGTTATTTGATGTGCCAGGATCTACGGAAGTCTTTTGACTCTCCTGACCAGCTGGTGATGGTTATCAGAGCCCCTCCAGAGACCCAGATGCAAGTCTCAGAGCCCAGTGAGGTATGTGGGAGGATAATAGAACAATGGATGCTTGCTCAAGACTATTTTCTGGACCAAATACTGTATTCCAGCTAATGTGGTTTACACACCAACCAGAACTATTGATTTGTATCCTCTCTGTTTCAATAAATTATCCTTTTGTTGTCTTCTGGCAGGGGTATCAGGTCTCCCTGAAGAGCACTCAGGGTCCCATTGATGTCTTCCTGTGTCCAGAGGACATTTCTGGTGTCTGCAGCCCAGTGACAGGCATCAGCCCTTCTAAAGCCACAGATCAGATAATGCCCCAGCCTGCAGAACAACCACCGTGCAGCTCCACACAGGAAACGACATCGTCAACAGCTGTGTCCCAACAGAACTCCTCTCCACTGCCATTGTTTCGTGAAGCGGGTAAGCTGCTCTCACTAGTGTCACCCTGATAGGTTCAGGAATGTCTGAGATTTCTTCCAGAAATCCAATAGAGTGCAACTGAAGGCAATAAACAACTTATCTGATAGAAAACAGCCTATGGGCATCAATATTAGTCAAACACACACAGTGAGACAGACTACCAAGCAGCGCAGCGTATTGCACTTTGTTTACATAAGACAACACGTGTCACATTTTTTAACTTGAGAAATACTGCAACAAACACCTTAGCTAGATTTAAATTGCCCGACTTAAACCTCGGCAAAAACGTCACAATTAATTACTGATTTCTTGAGTTGTCTTAGTGCATTCGGAAGTATTCAGACCCCTTGACTCTTTCCACATTTTGTTATGTTACAGCCTTATTCTAAAATGGAATAAATACATGTTTCCCCACATCAATCTACACATAATACCCCATAATGACAAAGCAAAAACAGGTTTTTAGAAATATTTGCAAATTAATTAAAAATACAAAACTGAAATATCTTATTTACATAAGTATTCAGACCCTTTGCTATGAGAATCAAAATTGAGCTCAGGTGCATCTTGTTTCCATTGATCATCCTTGATGTTTCTACAACTTGATTGGAGGCCACCTGTGGTAAATTCAATTGATTGGACATGATTTGGAAAGGCACACACCTGTCTATATAAGGTCCCACAGTTGACAGTGCATGTCAGAGCAAAAGGGTACCAAAACATTTAAGAGTGTGCTCCTAATCTCAGCTCGTTACCTGTATAAAAGACACCTGGGAGCCAGAGATCTTTCTGATTGAGAGGGGGTTAAATACTTATTTCCATCATTAAAATGCAAATCAATTTATAACATTTTTGACATGCGTTCTTCTGGATTTTTTATTGTTGTTATTCTGTCTCTCACTGTTCAAATAAACCTACCATTAAAATTATAGACTGATCATTTCTTTGTCAGTGGGCAAACGTACAAAATCAGCAGGGGATCAAATACTTTTTTCCCTCACTGTATATCCACAGTAAAACAAGTCCTATATCGACAACCTGAAAGGCCGCTCAGCAAGGAAGAAGCCACTGCTCCAAAACCGTCATAAAAAAGCCAAACTACGGTTTGCAACTGCACATGGGGACAAAGATCGTACTTTTTGGAGAAATGTCCTCTGGTCTGATGAAACAAAAATAGAACTGTTGGCCATAATGACCATCGTTATGTTTGGAGGAAAAAGGGGAACGCTTGCAAGCCGAAGAACACCATCCCAACGTGAAGCACGGGGGTGGCAGCATCATGCTGTGGGGGTGCTTTGCTGCAGGAAGGACTGGTGCACTTCACAAAATAGATGGCATCATGAGGAAGGAAAATTATGTGGATATATTGAAGGAGACATCAGTCAGGAAGTTAAAGTTTGGTCGCAAATGGGTCTTCCAAATGGACAATGACCCCAAGCATGCTTCCAAAGTTGTGGCAAAATGGCTTAAGGACAACAGTCAAGGTATTGGAGTGGCAATCACAAAGGCCTGACCTCAACCCTATAGAACATTTGTGGGCAGAACTGAAAAAGCGTGTGCGAGCAAGGAGGCCTACAAACCTGACTCAGTTACACCAGCTCTGTCAGGAGGAATGGGCCAAAATTCACCCAACTTATTGTGGGAAGCTTGTGGAAGGCTACCCGACACGTTTGACCCAAGTTAAACAATTTAAAGGCAATGCTACCAAATACTAATTGAGTGTATGTAAACTTCTGACCCACTGGGAATGTGATGAAATAAATAAATAAAAGCTGAAATAAATCATTCTCTACTGTTATTCTGACATTTCACATTCTTAAAATAAAGTGGTGATCCTAACTGGCCTAAGACAGGGAATTTTTACTAGGATTAAATGTCAGGAATTGTGAAAAACTGAGTTTAAATGTATTTGACAAAGGTGCATGTAAACTTCCGACTTCAACTGTATGAGGATATATAAAAAAAACGATTTAATCAATTTTAGAATAAGGATGTAACGTAACAAAATGTGGAAAAAGTCAAGGGGTCTGAATATTTTCAGAATGCGCTGTAGATTCATTCTGACTATTTTGAGGAAGTGATACTGGCTTTGTTCCTATGGTGTCTCATGGGGGACAAACATCAGTAACTGCCACACAGAACCACACTCCAAAGACTGAAATCTTGTTTTTCATAATGAGAAACCCATACAGAATCGGTGCGTTCAGTCGTTCTTTAACGTTCCTCAATGGCTATTAGCCGTGGTCACTAAAACTGAATTTCCATTTTTCTTTACAGGAGCAGTCCTGGAATGTGACCCGTTCCCCAACCTGGGAGTGCTGCCGGAATTTGACCTTTCACCCCTGTCGTCCTCTGACTTCCTCAGTGGGGAGTGCCTTGGTAACCCACTGGACGGGTTCATCAACCTGTCCCCTCCACAAAGCCACGACTACCACTTTGGCCTAGACGAGCACGAGGGCATCACTGAACTGTTTGACTCTGACTTTGGAAACTTCACCCCACAAGAGTTCTGAGGATGGGGTGGAGAGAAACACCCACAGAAGGAGAATGAGGTTGTATCTCTATGGAAACACCCAATACCCTCTCTGAAGAAAGAAGTATACCCATGTGGCTATAATACAGAATTGTACAGCACAAACAGTAATGGCACTTAAGTCGTCTAGCAAAAGAGTTTAGCTTTAGATGGCTATTTAATTTATTTCTATACAGATAATGTTTTTGTACCAAGAATGTTTTTTTTTTTTTTTTTTAAGTGGTTTTTGCAGGTGTACTTGTGGGATATGGACTTGTGATTATCAGCTCGAATATTAGCATGTAAGCTAATGCTGAATATGTTATATTAGGTAGGCATTTTTGCCATAGTCTCAGGTGTAAGGAAGAGCCAGACTTTTCCAGTAAGAGTTGGGTTTCAGATGCATTTTAAGAAGTCATACAGTATGTTGGCCAATGGTAATGGCAGGATATAGCCTACGTAGGTTAAGAGACCTAACTGTTTTATAGATGAAGTTTGGGATGGGGGCAGTTGGGATGTCATGCCTTAAAGGAAAGATTCACCATTTTGAATGTTCTATCGTTTTTGTGCATCTCTGAGCGATGTTCTATCGATTCCCGGGGTCCTTTCATGTTTTCATGTGTATCTGAGCTATTGCCGTTCAAGCTTGAGATGCACAAAAACGAAAGAACATTCAAAATGGGTGAACCTTTCCTTTTAATATTGATGAGATCCGTTTGGTAATCTAATTACCAATAAGAGAATCTTATCCCTTTTAAAACCTGTCCATATTGGTCTACAGTTTGAATATATTGTTTTACCAGGCTATACATTTGGTTGATTGTCAGTCATACAGAATCAGTTTGTCCTTATCATGAACCTCATCACAACTCCTTTTCTGCAGGACTTATGCAGTGCCTTATAAAAAAAAGTCTGGTGGATGGATTCAATTCAGGTGTTATGCTGTGTCTATAATTTAGTTGTTTGTATGCAAGTGTTAGATTTGCATTTCTTAACAGCAAGTTGTTGATTACTACTATTTGGGGGCCATCAGGCTACTATACTTGAGAATTCAGCCACTGTGTTAACAGCGCTTAAGGGAAACTAACTCTGCAGTCAATTTCACTTTGTTCAGCGCTTTGTTTTATAACAATATTACAAAATGAACTTTTTTCCCACAAATTCACTGGTGAAAATAATTACTTGTACCAATCCACCGAGTGGTTTATCAGCATGTCCTTTGTATCAAGTTAGTTTTTTGAAGAATAAAAACATCTGAAGTTGCCACATTGGGCAGGTGATTAAAAAATAAATTAAAAAACAAACGAACTGCGAAGAGTTCCATTAGCCTAAAACATCTCTCTGGTTCCTTCCCATTGTTTAAGTGTAAGACAGACAATTGATGGCATTTATGACAGTCGGGCAAGTTGAACCTGCATTGAGAATATTCTTACAAACAAAATACAAAGAATTCCAGTACTGATCTTTCTGATTCCTCCCTTGTAGATGACAGGCAGGCTTGGGGTTATTGTTTTGGTGGAAGAGCTTAATTTGCTTCCACTGGTCATGGGGCCTTTGTTAAGGTCAACGACATCATGAACTCTACCCTGTACCAGGACATTTTAGCCAAAATTCTAGTAACCTCTACCAGGAGGCTGAAACTTGGCTGCAAGTGGATCTTCCAGCAAGACAATAGCTCCAAGCACACATCAAAATCCACAAAGACATGGTTAATTTACAACAAAATCAACATTTTGCAATGGCCATTTCAGTCTCTGGACTTGAACCCCATTGAAAACCTGTGGTCTGAATTGAAGAGAGCAGTCCATAAGAGCAGACGGAGGATATTAAGGATCTGGAAAGATTCTGTATTGAGGAATGGTCTAAGATCCGTCCAAATGTGTTCTCCAATCGTATAAATATTTTTAAAAAGGCTCTGTGCAGTTATTCTCGCAAGGTGAGGTATTGAAAGGTATTGAAAACGGGTGCCAATCATTTTGTCCTATCTTTTTTAGATACAAAAATATTACTTGTTAAACAAAATCTCTATCTGAGCAATTGTGTTAGTATAAAATAATATAATAATTATAAAAAAAATAGCTCATCTTTATCAAGGGTGCCAATAATTCTGGACCTCACTGTATATGGCAATATATGACACTTCTGCGTGTAAATAGCTAATTTAAATTTTCGGGCAAATTATTAATTAATTAATAATATGCCATTTAGCAGATGCTTTTATCCAAAGCGACTTACAGTCATGCGTGCATAAATTTTTTGTGTATGGGTGGTCCCGGGGATCGAACCCACTACCTTGGCGTTACAAGCGCCGTGCTCTACCAGCTGAGCTACAGAGGACCACAAATTATAATTAATATCAGGTAACCAAAAAAATACTCCTGACTTTCCTGATCGGCAAGTGCCTTTCAGAATTTAATCTCAAACCCTGGTTCAAAATATAAATAATTTAAGTGTCACTCCCTCTGAGTTTTAATGTGCTTTATTTTGTTCTTTCACTGAGCGTACAAAACATTAGGAACACCTTCCGAATATTGAGTTCTCCCCCTTTTGCCCTCAGAACAGCCTCGATTTGTTGGGCATGGACTCTACAAGGTGTCAAGCGTTCCACAGTGATGCTGGCCCATGTTGACTCCAATGCTTCCCACAGTTGTGTCAAGTTGGCTGGATGTCCGTAGGGTGGTGGACCATTCTTGACACACACGGGAAACTGTTGAGTGTGAAAAACCCAGCAGCATTGCAGTTCTTGACACACTCAAACCGGTGCACCTGACACCTACCATACCCCGTTCAAAGGCACTTATATTTTTTGTCTTGCCCATTCACCCTCTGAATGGCACACATACACAATCCATGTCCCAATTGTCTCAAGGCTTAAAGATCCTTCTTTAACCTGTCCTCTCGACTTCATCTACACTAATTTAAGTGGATTTAACAAGTGACATCAATAAGGAATCATAGCTTTCACCTGGATTCACCTGGTCAGTCTATGTCATGGAATAATGTTTTGTACACTCAGTGTATATGTCATGTATTGGTGGATTCTCCATTGTAGTGGCTCGACTTCTAAGGTGTAATGTTTGTGTCAATCCAACAAAATGTTCATCACATACAGTACTTTACTCTTTCATTTTATGGTAGCCCAGGGGTTATTGACAGATGAGGTGTTGCAGGGTTCACATACAGTATGTACATCAGTGACACGCAAGGCCTTGAGCAATGAATACCGATGTCTAAAACATTGATTGACTGTTATTTGATCATTTCCTAGAGGAACAATGTCTCTTTCTGAGTGGCAAAGATAAGGATTATCCAAGTGAGGGGATGTGCGGTACCTATTAACTTATCTTTTGCTATGCTATGTTGGTCCCCTGCCATTGTCCCCTGCCAAGATTATAGGTAATGTCTCATTTGCCTACAGTGTCTCAGGGCATATAGTTCTCTCTCATAACAGGCTGGTTCTCAGTCTCTCTCTCTTTAAAATCACCTCAGGTAGGAGGAGCAGTCTGTCCCTGGAAAGTTCAAACAACAAGAGGGGAATGTACTCACATCACTTTTTGTACATGGGCACTCCTCACAATGTAATATCAAGACCATGGTCATTTGGCCAGGTAAGTGGCTGCAAAGAAAACCTATCTTCAGTTGTTGTTAATCATTGTGTCTCCTTGGGGAACATACAATAGTAACCCCTTTCCAAATATATTTTCTTCCTCGTGTGTAGTATGAACAGGGCATACTGGAGATCTGCCTTAACATCCTCCAGGTCAGCCCACATCACAGCAAAGACAAGCAGGGAGACTACTTCTGCCATACAGACCCTGTCTACATCAGCAGAGTGGTGTGTGCCATGGGGAGTAAGCTATTGCAACGTGCTCTCAGGGAAATTCGTACTATTCTGTACGTAAATCTGTTACAAGCCATTTAGTATGATATGTTGCGTTACGTTAGGGTATATTATGAATTCAATAGAGGTCGCACAATATCATACGAATTAGAGGACGTATAGTATAATACGTCTTACCCAGTGATGTAGTGGTAAAAAAAAGATGGGTAAACTATAAACATATTACATTCTTAGAACTACAGTGCCTTGCAAAAGTATTCACACCCCTTGGCGTTTTTCCTATTTTGTTGCATTACAACCTGTAATTTAAATTGATTTTCATTTGGATTTCATGTAATGGACATACACAAAATAGTCCAAATTGGTGAAGTGAAATGAAAAAAATAACTTGTTTCAAAACATTCTCAAAAATAAATTATGGAAAAGTGGTGTGTGCATATGTATTCACCCCCTTTGCTATGAAGCCCCTAAATAAGATCTGGTGCAACCAATTACCTCCAGAAGTCACATAATTAGTTAAATAAAGTCCACCTGTGTGCAATCTAAGTGTCACATGATCTCAGTATATATACACCTGTTCTGAAAGGCCCCAGAGTCTGCAACACCACTAAGCAAGGGGCACCACCAAGCAAGCGGCACCATGAAGACCAAGGAGCTCTCCAAACAGGTCAGGGACAAAGTTGTGGAGAAGTACAGATCAGGGTTGGGTTATAAAAAAATATCCCACGGAGCACCATTAAATCCATTATAAAAAAATTGAAAGAATATGGCACCACAACAAACCTGCCAAGAGAGGGCCGCCCATCAAAACTCACAGACCAGGCAAGGAGGGCATTAATCAGAGAGGCAACAAAGAGACCAAATATAATCCTGAAGGAGCTGCAAAGCTCCACAGCAGAGATTGGAGTATCTGTCCATAGGACCACTTTAAGCCGTACACTCCACAGAGCTGGGCTTTATGGAAGAGTGGCCAGAAAAAAGCCATTGCTTAAAGAAAAAAATAAGCAAACACGTTTGGTGTTCGCCAAAAGGCATGTGGGAGACTCCCCAAACATATGGAAGAAGGTACTCTGGTCAGATGAGACTAAAATTTATATTTTTGGCCATCAAGGAAAACGCTATGTCTGGCGCAAACCCAGCACCTCTCATCACCCCGAGAACACCATCCCCACAGTGAAGCATGGTGGTGGCAGAATCATGCGGTGGGGAAGTGTTTCATCGGCAGGGACTGGGAAACTGATCAGAATTGAAGGAATGATGGATGGCGCTAAATACAGGGAAATTCTTGAGGGAAACCTGTTTCAGTCTTCCAGAGATTAGAGACTGTAAGCATACTGCTAAAGCAACACTCGAGTGGTTTTAAATGTCTTGGAATGGCCTAGTCAAAGCCCAGACCTCAATCCA